AATCCCATTGTAGTTTTATCACACTGCAATGTCTTTTAATGCAGGAAAAAAAATGTGAACTAATTTATTAGTACATTATTTGAATATTTACAAAGTTAAATTAAAGGACCTTCTATTACGCCATTGAAGCACCGGGACCGGGCATATGATGCTAAACACATTTTTACAGACTCATAACTACTTGGTAGATGATATGATTAGCATCATACTGGCTGCCTTTACTTCCCAAGAGTTCTAATATTTACCCTCTCTAATTCTGTGATGATACTGAGAAGACAGAGACAGTGGTTTTGGCTCAATCCTCAGAGTTGGTTGGATTTGTCCTTGTCCAGCCAGTAGGGATCAACACATTCATGTAAAAATAGGTAGCAGACAACTTCCAGAATCTTCCTGGAACTGATTGGAAAGGGAAAATGCTAAGCAGGGGAAATGACCACCTCCACTTCATGAGCCCCTAGGGGGTCCGAGGGAAGTGACCTCCCCCACTTCATGAGCCCCTAGGAGGCCTGAGGGAAGCGACCACCCCCACTTCATGAGCCCCTAGGGGGCCCAGGGGAAGTGACCACCCCCACTTCATGAGCCCCTAGGGGGCCCAGGGGAAGTGACCACCCCCACTTCATGAGCCCCTAGGGGGCCCAAGGGAAGTGACCACCCACAATTCATAAGCCCCTAGGGGGCCCAGGGGAAGTGACCACCCCCACTTCATGAGCCCCTAGGGAGCTCGAGGGAAGTGACCACCCCCACTTCTTGAGTGTCCTCTTTTTAATCACATTGTTTTCATTTCAACTCTCTTATTATTTATTAGGCAGTTATCTTCTGTGTTCTAGAAGATTCACTGATTTATTCTTGTTTGTTTAGAAACTGGAAAGTAAACCTAATTTGGGATTGGGGGGGGGGGGGGGGGGGGGGGGGGGATGAATAAGGGAAAAGAAATTCTCATTTTGGTAATAGTAACGGGTAACAGTAATGTTGCTCTCCCCATTTACACAGTATCACACACTAGCTGACTTCTGATTGGTCAACCTTCAGCCTAGCCCACTTCTAATTGGTTGACCTTCAGCCATGCGACCTTGGCACAAGGTTACCGGGGTGTTCTGCAATGCCATTGATATTGTATGTTGTATATTTCAGCATGCCTGCGCTTTTAACACTCCAAAAACATTGACAAACTGGGTCTAACAAAAAGCACTCCTTCAGAGAGTGATAAAACATATGTCACAGGCATTCTCTTTCCCTGAATAAAAACGTAAATGCAAGACAATCCAGAAAGCAAACAACAAAGAGGCACACCACACCCGTAACCTGCAGGAAGGTAGACCAGCCCAAAAAATTTATCAATGGAACGTGACATACTTTGTTTGAAGAGATTAACTTTTGTTTAAATCACATTTCATAATTTGTAGACCACAAGGCAGATCAAGAAGACAGTGCAGATATGATACACAGGCAGACCAACAATCACTTGAAGTCACCTACTGGAAAGAGAAAGAACAGAGGTGAACCTCAAGGGCTTGGAATGCTGAAGAACCAAATGGTGAAGAAGGAAGAAAGAAAGAATCAGATTCAAAAGCATTAGGCTGGAATAAGGGATGTTAATCTAAACGGAAATGAAGCAACACTGGTAAATAACATCAGAGTTATGTTGCTGATATAAAAGTATAGGTGATACATTTAACAAGGAAAAGCTGGAGCTGAGTGGTCAGAGCACACTGGCTCTCAAGCAGAAGACTCAAGTTCGATCTTCGGTAAAGGATGAAGATTTGTTTCTGTCAGGGGCCAAAATAAAAATCTGTGAAAAAAATTTGTGATGACCGCATTAGCCATGCAACCTTAAATCTTCAGGCACTCGACCTCCCCTGTCCTACAGTTTTAGAAGGTAGTAAATATGGGCAGTAAAAGACAGCTTAGAATTTCTTAGCTACGAGCCCTGAAAGACCAAATGTAAACATATACCACAAAACAAAACAAAACAGAATACTGTAAAAGTAGATAATCCTATTACAAAAGCGATTCCCATAAATCTCTTTCGACACAAAAAGAAGCAAACAAACAAAAATCTCAATAAGAAATTTATAAATCAACAGTAGCAAATAAATGATCTTCATCTATACACTTTCTTCCATGAAAGAAAAATAAAATAAAAACAGCAGCAGCATTCAATCTCATTATCATCTGGCATAAGGAGCAACCATGTCTGAACACATTTACAAATATGTACAATATATATTCGTAAACATTACAATACCATCCAAACACAGATGTCTGACAAATGTTTAACAAAGATATCATCATCATCATCTTCAGGTGCCTTGCCGACCGGCGTGGGCGATCATACCTCTCCATAATCTGTGATCTCCTGCAGCATGTATCAGTTCGTGTGCTGACACACCTCCATGCCATGCAACAAGACTGTCCATCATCTTCTCTCGTTGTCTTCCTCTATCTCCCCTTCCACACATCTTTCCAGTGGTCACAACATGTTCTATTTTCCCTCTTCTCATAACATGGCCGAAAAATGATGACTGTCTGCTTCTGATGTCTGTGATAAGTTGTCTTCGGGCTTCCGCCTCTTTCAAAACCTCTTGGTTGCTCTTTTTAAAGATATACAGCCACAAAAATGATACACAACCAACCACATAAAGAAGTAAAGCACCCTTTTTAAACCAGTGGCACATCAGGCATATATTATGATCTAGACTCATATTTTCATAAACCAGTCAGCATTCTGTGGGTGATGTGGTCAGCATCACACCGACCGGCCGGCCACCCTACTCAGGACGTTACCTGTACCCACTTAAAGCTGGATTGACCTGGGAGCCAAGAACAAATTTGGGAAACATCTGACTCGCTTCGGATTTGAACTCACCACCTTTGGGCTGGAAGGCAAGCAATAACTAAAAAACATATACATAAAGATAGTTCACACACTTGTGTTTAACTAATCAGGCTTTACAGATGAAACTTACCTATTCTGTCAAAAACAAATGCTATTACTGGTTGAGGACACATCAATCAATGAGATATCAGTACCAATGCCACTGAATGAAACTCAAATTCTGACACACAACATATATACAAAACAACTTCTTTTTCTTCTTCATTCTTCCCTACAAGGGCAGTTAACATATTGTGGTTTACAGCTAGGCTATGTTATCTCCTTTTATCAGCCCAACACATCACATTTCAGTATTAGCCTTGTGTGCGTGTGTGCGCACGTGTGAATCTACACCCCCCCCCCCCCTTTTCCTCCCCCAATCCAAACAGAGAAAAACACTGCAATATAGTAAATAAAACACATTTAGAATCCAGAATACTCACATATCAAACCCAGACATGACATAATACTGACATAAATTCAAAAAGAATGACATGATAGATGAATAAAATCAGCACATATGACAATACTTACATTAGACTCATACACACCACTTAACACCCTGACATACAACGCCCTCTTACAAAGGAGGATGGATATGGGGTCCAACCTGGAGCTTCCAGACATGAACATTCACTAAGATCCATGAGGTGGATCACAGAATAGGTGTGATAAGTCAAAGTACGCTTGCGGAGGAGAATTGGTGTTGTTAGTACTGGTGTTAAGAACAGGTGGTTCTCAGCTGCACATGCTGAGGAAGATAATGAAGATGGGATCTCATCGCTTTTGGACTTCTCAAATGTGCATCGAGGATGATCAGTTGATTAACTAGTTAGCTAAGTGATCAACCTTTACACAAAATCTATAAGCATAATGTTTATATTCGTCCCAGGAAAATGGTTACACAAATCAAACAATTCACAATGTAAATGTTTATAATGGCTAGATTAACAAACATGCTTGCCCACCAGCTTGGTGATTTTCAGTTTAAATCCCCATCAGGATAGATATTTTAAATGATCTAGTCTGCACAGTCGACACAACCTCAATTGGATACAAGAAAATGTTCTGGAAAGTAAAGGCGGCTGTCATAATACTGTCCAAACCACACACTAAGCTTCATTTGAGCTTTTACAAATGTGAGGCGGGCAATGTATGGCCAACTCAAGATTTAAAATTGGATCATTCTGAGAAAAACAAAACAAAACGTCTTGAACATCTCACACATAAAGTGTTCACAGGAGATATAAAGATGTGACAATTTATTAGGAACAGTCAATAATGAAATTATGTAATCTTACTATGAACATTTACAGTGAAATGAAATACTTTACAATGAGTGTTAAATGATGAAATGAGAAATTACTATGATCTGATTGTACAGAAATGAGACACCTTACTCAGCTGTACATACCGAAATAAGAAACTAGACAATGTGAAGAAATGAGATAGGTTACTATGACAATAAGTCACAAAATGAGATAAATTACTGAGCTGTTGGTCATTAACTGAGATGATCACTATGAACAAAACTGACACATGATAAATTACTATGACCTATCAGTAATTAGTCACACACATGTAAGCTGTCAGTGTCTTAAAGGTTGCAAATGTGGTTTGTAATTCCAAAATAGCCGATTCAATTTCAGCTGTGAACAATTTGGCAACAGACTACTTTGCATTTTGACGATGGTATTTAGAGTGGCAAACTAGTGAGCATAAAAATTGTCTAGCAAAACCGCAAACAGCCAACAAAAGCTGGGGTTGTTGAATTCTCAAAGTCCAGTAAAGCAGGCGTGTCAAACTGGCGGCCCGCAGGCCACATGTGGCCCTTTGCCAGCACACCTGTGGCCCGCACACATGAAATATTCTGCAATAATTTTTTATTAAATAACTTTAGTTATTGTGTGTGGCCCTCATGACGTTACAAATATGACTCATTTTCTTCTGCATTTCTAGCCCCCAGTGGAGCATAGGCCCTCAACCAACTCACGGCAAGTCGATCTATCCTTTGCTATTGCATGCAGCTCTTTTAATAAATATGACCCATATGGCCCTCAGGTGACCCTCAGTCTAAACTGCCTGCTGTAAAGAATATGCAACTAACTTTCTTATTAGTTGTACATTACTGACTCTCACTGGCATTATCACTTTCACCGGCATCTTGATTGTCATTGCCACCATGCTGCCTGTCCTGATATCTGTCAGCACCAGGATGTTGTCCAAACTGACCCTGAGGATGTGCCGGAGAACGGTTGCCCATCCCGAAGGATACTGACATCGGTTCTGATCGACTCATCTCGCCAGACACTGAGGAGTTAGAGCTTTCGTCATCTCGACTAAACCCGGCATACATTTCTGGGTTGGGATGGAACTTCATGTGCTGCTCACGCGGTGCTGCTTCAAATTTGATGTCTAAGATGTTGGGGTCGCGGCGCCCCTCCTGGTAGCGACGATGAAGAGTCATTATAAGCTCGTGAATTTCCCGACGTTTTTTGTGAACTATTTCCTCTGGAAACCAGTTCTGCAGTCCTTTCATGGGAATCTGGAAATCTGCTATAGGGTCCTGTCAAATAAATGTAAAATAGTGTGGTTAGACATTTATCAGAAAACATCATTATTATTCCTAGGAACAATTTTTACATCATATATGGCTTGCAATAGATTCTTTCATATATTTAATCCTGTGCGATCTCCTCCCCCCCCCCCCCCCCCCCCCCCCCCCCCCCCCCCCCCCCCCCCCCCCCCCCCCCCCCCCCCCTATGCATTTGCCTTTAAAAAAGTTTCTGGTGCGCCTTCTCCAATGGGGAAAACAGAAGAAGAAGCAGTGGGTAATATAAAGGTGGAGACAAAAATGCTAGATGGTTTCAAGTGTGATTAGAATGGAACTTAACCTATTCATTTGAAAAATATGTAAACAACAGATTGTCATTAACTTAGCCTTCTCACAAAATATTTTAATCAGAAATTAAATATACCTAAAGGCATTCTCCATAGAGAGGAAATGAACAAGAAGCTAACCTCAAAAAAGCTCTCCACATACTGCAGCAAGTAAACTCCGCAGTCACTGTAGTTGCTTTGCTGCGGGACTTTCGGTGTAGACCCTCGTACAATTTTAGTGATATTCCTAGGTTCTGATCTCTTAGCATTCCATTCACACTGCAAGTACCTGAAATCAAGAAGGATTAAATTAATCCACAAAACTTCAATTGATCGGAAAGATGGCGGTCATCTACAGTAAGATATATTTTATGATTTATTTTTAAAATGGCCACCGGTGATCCTGTGCTTGATCCCAAGTACTGGCAAGACTGATTTTTCCACACAGGGCAGATCCAGGATTGATGAGGGCAAAACAATTCTTTGAGGGTAAAGGCCACACACTGATAAAACTGTATAGTAGTATAACTAGAATGTCTTTGCGCCGGAGCTCACAAAGTCAAAGTAACAAAGACAGACCAAAAAATATGTGGAGAAGTGAACAAGAGAGAAAGAAGTTAAAAAGATGGGAAGTACATGGTATCTCATGCATGCAACAGAAAAAGATAGTTCTGGGTGTGAGTTGGCTGTTGGAGCTTACCTCCACAGTGGAAGAAAGCGCAGGGGAAGAAAGGAAGAAGGAAAGACAACCAGTATGGAAATTCTTGGAGAGGAAAGGTGACAGCTAAATTAACCATTTTGCTGTCTGGTCCTAAAACTGTGGGCCCAAGAACATATTGCTATGATACAAGATGACAACAAATATGTATGTGAGGTCATGACATCTTTTTTGTAATGACATCAAACAATATGTCTATCTGTCTGGCCCCAGATGGATAATATCTCTTTTTTTTTTAAAAATAAACTTTTATTAAGTCTGGTTGTCTTTGTTTGTTACAATTTATAAGTTCCCAAGTTTTTCTAACCCAGACTTGATATAAAGCAGTGGAGGATGGACCAAAGCTAGCATTCCTATTATGTTCATTTCATTGCATCATTTCATGTATTTTTTATGACAATTTCTACTTCTGCTGATTTATTTACAGAATGGATGTGGCTTGCTAAAAAAAATTCTTCCCTGCTTAAGCAGGATAAAAACACAAGGGTACTCACTCTCGTAACATCTTGACATTCGGAGTTCTGCTGGGTCCAGCCAGAGAATCAAACATCAGAATACATGGCCTGGACAGAGAAACAATCAATTGTACTTGAAAAACTGAATAAGTGAGATCACTGCATTCTAGGCATTCCCACAGATGCTGTCCCCTTCCCCAAAAGCCAACACAGAGTTCCAATATTAATAGTGACTGTTGCAACCTTATGAAAAGCCCACCAGTATTTCCCTCTGCTTACTGAACAACCATTCAGATTCTCTTTCCACTAAGGGCTGAATCAGCATCTGGAGGTATGGATACTTTGTACCACTGCAGTCCAACTGATTCTAGAGAACCTAAACCACATATGTTTTACCACAAAGTAACTAATCTTGAAGCCTGCTCGCTACCCAGCACACCTGAACTCCCTGGACAGAAAAGCCATGATATGCTGCCAACCTGAGTATTACCAAGTGATGTGTGCAAGCCACTCTACACAAAGGACACCAGTTTCTATTTTCTGAAGAATGCTCTGAGAGTCTATACAATTACAATATATTGGGCTGTTGATCAGAAAAGGGACCTAATGCTCTGATAGTGGACATAGAACAAAACAGGGAATGCAAACACACTCAGAACTGTACTACATTGTGTGTGTGTGGGGGGGGGGGGGGGGGAGGGGGTGGACATTAATGTAAGGAGAATAAGATTGATTACTTGGGGAAAGGGGGGGGGGGCCTGAAAAATTAAGTTACAGAGCTAAATATGCCTTGAGCAGTTTCAGCATATGCTTCATTCAGAATTACATACAAAGAAAATGATAAATTATGTAACACTGAGCGATATATATGTGTGTGTGTGTGTGTTACAGTCAGCTCAGTAAAGTACACAGATTTACTAACAGATATAAACAATAAACATTCTCCAATCTTCTCTTTCATAAATTGTATATTTTTCCTCCAGTAGGTTCTGAGGCTCCATTTGGCAGAGGGGTTACTGTTACAGACTTACTGCCCTGAAAAAGAATGAAGAAAATGTGAATAATTAAGGGTCTGTTGAAATGTGTAGGGCTGAAAGGCTCAGATATCACAGCCTAACTGTAAACCCCAAAACAACATGCCAACCACCCTTTAAGGGAAAATGCAAAAGAAAAGAGACTAATCTGTATAAAATCAAATAAAGACATAAAGAAACCACTTACTGCTTCTGTCCAAGATTGTATCTGCTGTCTTCATTATCCAGGCACTGTTTGGCATCTAGCTGCTTCCCCAGTATTGTCTGAGATATACAAAGGGAAAGAACTTCATTTAATGGAGAGTGACGGACAACATCAAAATTCATTATATGTTTAAATCACCTCTAATTACTAACATCATGAGGGCTAATGGACTGAAATGGCTGGGGTATACATAGAGAGAAGGGGAGATAACAGTCAGACACGAAAGGAGACCACGATGCGGACCAAGAAGATGGCAGGGAAAAGTATTACAGGCACACCTACAGACTATTAGAGACACACCGATTGAAAAGAGAAGGCTGATCATAAAAATGACATCTTCAGCAGTGAGCCTCTCGTGAGACTTCCGGTCAAAATTGACGCTAGGCAGGGGTACTGTTCGGAGCCAAGGCAACTTTGCTTCTACCAGATGGTGGCAGATGCATTTTTGCTCCATTTGTAGACTGAATATAGTTTCGTCGCCCAGCTTCTGAGATGAATGCATGGCGTGACACTGTGAGCTGCGGATTTTATTTGGAATGTTTTTTTAACTGTGACCAACGTGGTGGTGTGAACTGTAGATTCAGAAAATGGTGCGACCGCGATGCCTGTCGTCGCAATGTTGTTGGTGCTTATGTGTGATTAACATTGATCGCGTGGGCAACTGCTGACTGTTGGTGACTTCTGCTACCATCAATGATGAACTGCATTTCTAATGTCGGACTGTTTGTGTTAGCACTTCGGATGGCTACTGAATGCTTTAATGCATGTGTATGCTAGATATGCTAAGACAGCAGTCTGTCAATCTTTCCACAAGGGACTGTGATAAACATTCCGTGTGTTTTTCGTTGGCACAGGAGTGGAGCAAAGATGGGGGTCACCCGTTTACTATGAAGCTGAAACTAAGACTACCAGACCAGTGAGCCTTTAAGTCACAAAATGCTTGACGCCACCTAGACATCCCCCCCCCCCCACCACCACTCCCACCCCCTTTCGACCCTGTTGAAAACCACTGGTTTAAACAGAGTTGAATGTCTGGTTTCCCGTGTGTGTTCCGGGGCCCCATTGTGGGGGGGGGGGGGGGGGGACAAGAATAGACCTACTGCCTCCCCAACAAGCATGTTGTAAGAGTAGACTGACTGGTGGTTTCCTTTGATGTCAGATCGCATCTGTCTGAGAGGCAAGGAACCAACAGTCTGCATACAAATGTCAGATCTGTAAATCAATCAACACTCACATTCTGTAAAAGTCTAATTTAAAGACCAGAGGCGGATGAACAATCATAGCTTTCTGCCTGGAGTTTACCGCCGGTGAACGCGAAGAAGAAGAAGTAATAACTGCCCGGCGATGAATGAGTTGAGGAAAATGATGCTAGGCTAACCAAAATGTTGACCAAAATGCACTTGAAGGGTGATGTCAGCACAGCTCAAACTCATTTACCACAGAACATTTTCAAGTATTCAATTTATGACACTTTACTTTTAAATGTTGAATGCTGAATTAAGAATCGACGTCATAGCACTCAATACACTCCCATAAGCACTCCGTCTCCATCTTCAGCAGTGAGCGAAGAGTTCCAATCCCGATGGTACCAGTAACATCCGTCTCACCCTTCCCCTGAGTGCTGAGCATTGGCCACATCCCCTGGTAACTTCAAGCAGCGCCATTCTACTCAGACCGTAATGACATGACACTGTCAGAACATACTGCTGTGACCACCTGGTCTCAGTTCCCCCCCCCCCCCCCCCCCTGGCATTTTGGCCCAATCTATAAGCTTGAAGTCTACACTTTTTCTTCCTTCCAGACAAGAGTGTTATACTGTGCTACAGGGAACCCTGGGAATCCCAGCCCATGGCAATGCTTAGCACAAAGCCTAGGGCAGTACTGTTGAGACCAGGTGTTGCCTTATTTACTCCCCAGGAAAGGTAACACCAATATGTTTTGAACAAGGACCCTTCTCACATCATCACCGCCTATAGTGCTAGACTTCCTGATCAAACTGTACAACAAGCAGACAAAAGAGTAAACAGTGATATACAATTATCATTCAAAGACAACTACTCACTCTGGGTAGAGTGTCCTGGTTGCTGTTATCCTCAACAGACTTATCATCTCCCTAAAATGTGAAGAAAAAATTTGAAAGGAAAAGAAAGCAGCCATTTCCTACATTTGTATTTAGTGATTATTTCCCTTCACATAAAAAAAAAAAAATCACCTTTGCGCAAAAAATGACTCTCAACTTTTTGTGTCCCAAACAACTCAAGATATGCGGATCACACTATATGCCAAACCCAGCTGAATATGTTCTCTTACTTTCTGTATTTGGTCAGAACACACTGAAGAAATCTGGCTTGTCCGATGCTCACTACTACTACTGTTATATTACTGTTTTGAAAGTAATGTATGGATAAATTTTAATCATGGATATTTCTTCACTGATCTACTGTGAGAACTTCTTCTGGTACCAAAAGAGTTCAATATGAAAATTCATAGTGACTCAAGGGCCGTGATGAAGTAACAGCTGGCAGGCAGGCCTGCCTACTCAATGGTCATAGGTTTCAACCCCCTGAATTGTAATTAAAACTAATCAAAATTTCTTATGCTTCTTCTTCTGCTCCTTTATCTCCTCAGGGTAGAGTTTCAGAATTTCAACGATGTTTTTCTCGTTAAAAAAAATTTGAAAATGGGTAATTTTTATTTTTGATTTGTTTAATGTCGCGAAAGGGTTAAGGATTTTGTCTGGAAATCTCAGAGGATTCATGGCCCATTTTTTTTTAAAACATTACCGGTGCGTTAGGGTTAACTGCATAACAACTTCTCCTGTGCAATAAAGTTATCTGAACTTATTCAGTACCAAGCAACTCACTATGCATTAGTTGTTTGACAATTATTATTATTTAATGCAACTTTATAGAATTCCTGGAGTTGACTTGAGCTGAGCTGAGCTAAGAATTGACATCACAGCACTCGAGGCATTCTCATGTGTACTCCGTCCTCATCTTTAGCAGCCAGCACAGAGTTCCAATAACTAACTGGATTTCAACTAACATTTGCTCAGAACTGAAAGAGATAAAATGACGAATCAGTTTAGAGTTATTGTTTTGGGGAGAATGAGTAAAAGAAACAAGTACCAGGGATTTTTAGAGTTACACATTAGTTCTCTGTGTGGGTTCCTGGGATACATTTGTTGGGGAGGGATGGGGGGGGGGGCTGCTGCCCCTTAACAAGCGTATGTTCAAAGACAACTAATTCATATTTTGCAGACATGGGATGTGTTGGGCCAAAAGATGCAGATACTTCAACCTGTTACAAACCCAACACAATGTACCAACCTCTATTTTCAGGGTGTATGCAGGAGGAGGAGAAGGTACTTAAACAAACTCCTTATCCTGATTAACTCTACCAGACCTGAGACCCTGACCCTAACTGCCCCCTATACCTGGGTACCTGGGCATTAAAGCAAAAAAAAAAAAAAAAACCAACATGATAGACAAAATATTAGTTACATGCAAACAGGTTAGTTGCGTATCCTTTACAGGACGTTACAGAACCATCCCCAGTTGTGTGGGTTTTTTTAGGCAAATTTACGTCCAGTAGTTTGCCATTGCTTTCTGGACAGATAAGATGTGGAGACATTGTAGAAAATAGGTCTACCTTACCTTTCATCACTGAAATTCAGATCTGTATTTGGTGATACAAAATTCCTTGTCCAACCTTCATCACCACTTAGATCTCCCCCATCAGCTGTTTGAGGGACATGCCCTTCTCTTACTAACGATCTAGATCTAGTTCTATAAGGTTGAAGATTCTCCTCAACACTCGAGCTCTCACAATCTGTATCACTTGAACCGGAAACGTATTCTTGTTGAAATTCTGACTCCTCAGAGACTGAATCAACAAAAGTATTGATCACCTGTTGGACTGTGAAAAGCCTAGACCTACTTCACTTCCCCATCAAAGTGCTTGGTTCATCAGACACTTCATTGTGAATTTTCTGAATTATTTCACACTAAACCACACAAAGTCAATCCAAATACATGGGGAAGCCATTTGCAATGACTTACCACAAGGTATGACCATGACTGGTTGGTTATTTTTAGTTTGTGACGCATTTTGCAATGACTAACCACGAGGTATGACCATGACTGGCTGGTTATTTTTAGTTTGTGACGCATATTTGTTTTTCATGTGGTACGCAAAGTATCGAAAATAATGTACAGCAGTTTAGCTGCAGATTAGAAAATTCCAAGAAAAGCGGTACAGCAGTTTGGTAGAATCAAATGTCTCTCATTCAACAGTAATGATATGTTGAGCCAGTGTTCGATACAGTACTGAAAGAGTTTAAAAAAACTATTCAGTTTAGAGTAACTGCTTTGGGCAGAACAACTCAAAAAAGCCAGGGAAAGAAAAAACTAAGCATCAGGTCTGTGTGTGGGTTCCTAGGTGCAAATTGTGTGTGTGGTATGTGAGGTGCATAGGCATGTGTGGTGAGGTGTGTGTAGTGTGTATGTGGGGGGGGGGGGGGGGCACTGCCCCTTATCCTAAAAAGCAAATAATTAAGATTTTACTCAAGCTTACTGCCAGAAGGTGCATATATTACAACCTGTCTGCAAACCCCAAACAATCTGCCAACCTTCCTTTCAAAGGTGAATGCAGGAGGAGGAGGAGGAGGAGAAGAAGAGGAACAAAAAGAAGACGAAGAAGAAGGAGGAGGAGAAGAAGCATAAAGTACACATATAAAAGTACTTACAGTGTTATCAGTGGACTCGTCATAATCCACCCTGTGAGCATTGCTTGGAATAAACGGAACCACCTCAGAGTTTGCCAGCCCAGGAAAACATATTACAGCCAGGTACCAATGAGAGCTACAAAGGAAATCATTTAGTATTAACTTCAAAAACAGTGGTTTTCAACTTTGTGTGTGAAAGTTTCAAGGGAGTGTCAAGCAATTTTGAAACTGAGTGCTCTGTACTTGTTGTAATCTGTTATTCTAACCAAGTTTACTACAAAGAATTTTTTTTCAGCTTAAACATTTAAAAAAAAAAACAACTTTTAATAAAGCAAATATAGAACAAAAAGCCAAGGACTTTTTGTTTACATGAGTAGTTTGTATAGTAGACATTAGCAAGACAAACATCAATCTGGTATTTGCACACTAAATTACTAGAAGTTTTATGACTGTTTCCTTTATGTTGTTTGATATTTTGATTTATGTGGATGTTTTTCTCGAAGTTCTTGTTTACAGTGCTTGGGATTTTTCTTTTAAAGTTGGGAGGGTGGGGAGGTGGTGGAGGTCTTGTTATACATTCAAGGAGCCGCTACCTGCAAAGGGTTGAAAACCAATGTTCTAATGACTATTGCTAATTATTCAAAACAATGTGTTCTAGTTGTAAAAAAAGTAAAAGTCCTTTTTCCACGCCTTTAGGCCTATAGGGCATATAGGGCTAGACCTATATTTTTATAGACCAATCGGCACAAGATGGGTAATGTGGTCAGCATCATGCCGGCTACCTTTACTTCCCAGGACTGCAGCCGGTACCCACTCAAGGCTGAGTCGACCTTGCAGTCTAGGTCATTTTTGTGTTCTAGTTGTGAATTTAAATAATGCAGACACAACCGATTCATTGCACAACTGATTGAATGGCATATTTCATCAACACATCATGTTAATCTTAGACTTCCCTGGTTATCATGTCAGTAGTCTTAGGGCTTCCATTGGTGAGATGTTAATCTTAGGGCTTCCATTGGTGAGATGTTAATCTTAGGGCTTCCATTGGTGAGATGTTAATCTTAGGGCTTCCACTGGTGAGATGTTAATCTTAGGGCTTCCATTGGTGAGATGTTAATCTTAGGGCATCCATTGGTGAGATGTTAATCTTAGGGCATCCATTGGTGAGATGTTAATCTTAGGGCTTCCACTGGTGAGATGTTATCTTAGGGCATCCATTGGTGAGATGTAAATCTTAGGGCATCCATTGGTGAGATGTTAATCTTAGGGCTTCCATTGGTGAGATGTTAATCTTAGGGCTTCCATTGGTGAGATGTTAATCTTAGGGCTTCCATTGGTGAGATGTTAAATCTTAGGGCTTCCATTGGTGAGATGTTAATCTTAGGGCTTCCATTGGTGAGATGTTAAATCTTAGGGCTTCCATTGGTGAGATGTTAATCTTAGGGCTTCCATTGGTGAGATGTTAAATCTTAGGGCTTCCATTGGTGAAATGTTAATCTTAGGGCTTCCATTGGTGAAATGTTAATCTTAGGGCTTCCATTGGTGAGATGTTAATCTTAGGGCATCCATTGGTGAAATGTTAATCTTAGGGCTTCCATTGGTAAAATGTTAATCTTAGGGCTTCCACTGGTGAGATGTTAATCTTAGGGCTTCCATTGGTGAGATGTTAATCTTAGGGCTTCCATTGGTGAGATGTTAAATCTTAGGGCTTCCATTGGTGAGATGTTAATCTTAGGGCTTCCACTGGTGAGATGTTAATCTTAGGGCTTCCATTGGTGAGATGTTAATCTTAGGGCTTCCATTGGTGAGATGTTAAATCTTAGGGCTTCCATTGGTGAGATGTTAATCTTAGGGCTTCCACTGGTGAGATGTTAATCTTAGGGCTTCCATTGGTGAAATGTTAATCTTAGGGCTTCCATTGGTGAGATGTTAATCTTAGGGCTACCATTGGTGAAATGTTAATCTTAGGGCTTCCATTGGTGAAATGTTAATCTTAGGGCTTCCATTGGTGAGATGTTAATCTTAGGGCTTCCATTGGTGAAATGTTAATCTTAGGGCTTCCATTGGTGAGATGTTAATCTTAGGGCTTCCATTGGTGAAATGTTAATCTTAGGGCTTCCATTGGTGAGATGTTAATCTTAGGGCTTCCATTGGTGAAATGTTAATCTTAGGGCTTCCATTGGTGAGATGTTAATCTTAGGGCTTCCATTGGTGAGATGTAACACAGTAACAAGAAACACTGTGATTTGTCTAATTTCAGTTAAAGGGATTAATGTTTTCTGCTCAATCATATGTTACAATAAATTCTGGAGTACTGCATCTGACGTGACACAGTGACCTCTGGAGAGCTTCTATCAGTAACTAAGACTATCACCATCATCATCAAGTGCTGCGTTGACTGGCAAGGGGGTTCAAGCTTTCCTACACCTTGTGATCTCTAACTGTGTGTATTAATTCATGCTGACAACCTTCCATATCATGACAAAAAAAGCTGTCAATAATCTTCTGGTATTGTCTTCCTCTGTCTCTCCTTCCACAAATGTTTCCAGCTGTCACAACATGTCCCTCTCTTCTTATAACAGGGAATAATAACAAAGATCAGATAAGAGAAATTGAAACCCTCAACTTACTGTTCATTGATGGGAACAACGATGAAGTCCTTGGTGAATAGATCCACAGTTTTCGTCCACTTCTTCACACGAGCATGTCTCCTCTCCGGCAGACTTGAGGAGGGAAAGTGAAACAAAGTTCAACAGGTGCTGAATGTAAAAGTGGCTTTTCAGTACAGCTAGACGAGCAGGCTTATTAATATAGATAATGTTTTTAACCCCCCTGCCCCCCCCTTCCCCCCCCCCTTTCTTTCAAACACACATTCACAAATGTATGCACAATTTGCATAATTTTAGAGTAATCTAAATTAGTTTCATGCAAACATAAAAAACTATTTCACAATTGCTCAAATTTTCATTCAAATTTAGTATTCAGGTCCAAATGGCAAGACTGTTCATTACAGCCTACCTTTGCTGTGCAAGTAGCACCTAAATGAATGACAAGAAGTGTGAAAGGGATTATATATTCTATACCACAAGCTTTAGCAATTTTAGGCCTGAAGGAAATAAATGCTTTCTTTTTCTTCTGTGCTTGTGCAAAAAAAGGAGGTGTTCAGCTATTTCATGGTTTACAGCTAGGCTGCGATATCTGCACCTTTCAGGCCAACAGATCCGATTTCAGCAAACCTCTAAGTCATCACATTTTACGATCTGCTTGAAGGAGGTAGTGGGTCTATCTCCCCCCCATCCCCCCCCCCCCCCCCATTACCACAACCGGGCCCCAGAACCCACATGAGTGGGGGGAAATTTTACATGCACTTATTTATGTGGTATATCTATGTGTGAGAGCGGTGAGTGTACGTGCATGTAAAGCAGCAGTGTGTCTATTCCTGCTATGATGGTCTATATGTATTTACCTTTTTATCTAGTGAATGTCTGTTATGCGCTGGAGCAATGTGTGTTCCTGTTGTTATTACATAACAAGGAAAACATATCACCAATGCAACTGTTGATCACAAATTTACCTCTTCTTGGCATCCTCCTCAGTTTTATCAGCATGTCTATCTCTCTGAGTCAGACGCTTGTAAAAGAAAGAACTGAAAATGTGAGTCCTCTTCCTGTTCTCCTCAGTCAGCTTTTCCTGATATAAATACCTACAATGGAAATGTGACAAGGCTCGTCAGTGAAGGCCCATTTCCCAGAAACCTCTGTTTCCTAAACTTAGCAGAATGATACAGACCATGCTGCAGCTGCAAAGTTAAACTCAAGGCAGATGCTGCTAATGCTAAATGTTCTTCTTCTTCAGCATGAGTGCTTGAAGTTCTTGCTGCAGATATCACCCCCCTCCATTCATCTCTTTGGCTGGCCTTCTCTTTCCAGTTAGTGACACCAAGTGTTTGTAGGACTGTCTGAACATTTACTCTCCATTGTCTTCTTGCTGTGGCTCGTGGTTTTTTAACTTTCTGGATATTCTCTCTATTGTCTTCTTGGTCTGAGACCATTTAACTCCCTTGTGCTCATATTTTTTGCCTGTCTGAATATTCTACCTCCATCATTCATTTTCTTGGTCTGCCTCATGGTCTACGACCATTAAACTCCCTTGTGTACAGTTTTTACCTATATGGATATTATCTCTCCATTGTCTTCTTGGTCTGCCTCATGGTCTACAACCATTAAACTCCATTGTGTACACCGTTTTTACCTCTCTGTCATCTGACATTCTCTCAATATGCTCCTGCCATTTCAATCTATTAGCCCTCATGGTGCCAGTGATCAATGGTGATAACAGATGATGCTAATAGAGAATAAATGACTAAACACAACATTTACATATGAACTCTGTCGGCCCAAGAAAACTTGGATAATGAAAAAGTAACCGATTGCCCACATCAAAAGGAGATAATCATTTTTTGGTCCATGTCATGAGAAGGAGAAAACTGGAGTACGATGAGACGTGAGGAGGTTGGGGAAGGCAGAGGGCAACAGAAAGAAGATACTAGATAAGTCTGACATGATGGCATGGAAGATCATCAGTGTCAGAAGAGCCTGAAATTATAAGACAGAAGGTTGTGGATAGACATGACTACCAGTGCCACACAGCATGAACTATAAGGATTAGACGAAGAATAAAAAAGTAATTTAAAAAGTCCAACTGATGTCCTGGATATTTGCAGGAACAAAAGAATATGTCATATACAACTGGAAAAATACAGAGCCTTCACTGACAATATATTTGGGCAGGTCAACTTATGGAATCTAGAAGCAGAATTGGTAAAGATAAACCAGTAGCAGATGGAAATAAAAATCTGCAGTCAAGGATTCCAAAAACAGTTATTATGAAGTGGAATTTCCAATCTCAATTCTGCCTTTCCATGTGTCACGAACCGACTAGCAGAAAGTCATGATAGAACGAGCTGACTACTAATGAAGCCACGAGGTTCATCAACTGGGCACTGAAATGTAACAGTGCACAAAACCAAACGGGCGAGTTCTGTGCCTGGATATTGAGACTGTTGATTTGTGTTATTTTGTGACCGTTAAATCATAGTATCTTCGATTTAAGCGCAGTGACTGATAGTCTGTGTAATAATGTGTTTACCTGGACTGTAGCATTATTTGAACAGTGTTTGACAGAGATAGGATTTTTTTACAGTGATTTATGTGGTTAGCTTACTAGGTACTAGAGTTATTCTGTTAGCAGAGTTATGGTAGTAACTGGCAATCTAATCTGTCCTCAAACATTGGCTCCCACTCTGCAGACCTGCCACAGTCCCAGTGTAGAGTCCAGTAGCAGAGGAAAGAGCTTGGGGTGGGTTCAGACCCAGGTATTATCTGTAGAAAAGGATGGCCTGGGGGTTGGTGGCGATGTTAAAGCCCTCACTGTCTTGTTTAGGATAGTGGGTGCCCACCATTTTTTAGGCTTACTGTCTGCTGTTTATTGTTCTGTACATTAAAGATTGATGTGTGTGCTCTGTAAGTGTTTAGCTTAGTGTGTTATAGCGATAGACCGTCTGTCAGTAGCATACAAACAAGCCACATGCCTTCTCGGCAGGAATAGGGTTCATGACACCATGCTTTTATGATTTCTGGCTTATTTACGATTTTATTAGTGCACTGAAAAAAGTTCACCTGCGAACCCAACCTTTTCAGTTCAACTTTCTGAACATCTCCTGTGACATCAAGACAGTGAACATTTGTTACCTATGATAATAGTACTTACTGCAAATAGAAATCTATAATGACATCATTGAGGAACTCTCCCTCTGTGAGGCAAAATAGGTCTTCTGTGGTGATGGGAAGCCCTCTTGCTGGCGGAGGAGGATACTGCAGTAGTCTGCAAAAGAATGCAGTTTAATTACAGCTGTTAATACATGCTTGTTGATGCTGGTCAATATCAGGCCTTAGAAATGATTCTCAGTGTTCAGGACATGATTCAGCAAATTCAAGGACTTTGGTCTCTCTCTCTCTCTCTCCCCCTCACAATCTCCATGGTTTTTAAGGCTCTCATAGCCTACATTGCTGTTCCAGTTTTTTCTTTCTTTCTAGGTATCACAAATCTGCTGCACTGCAGGTGGACTTGGGACAGTCAACACTAGGGGGAGCAGGGACCAAACATGAAAAAAATTTGTCAAAATCAGATGCACTGAGTCATGGGTTCATGAATTTTTCTTCTTCTTCCTTCTATCCTACGAAGGTGCTCAAGTCCTCAACCAAGTCATGTCCAGTCATCCTATTCTTTGCTATCGCAGGCAGCTGAACCCATGTACCTACTCTACTCTGTCTTTTCAACATCACTTTCTAGATCCCTTATTCATGTGGTTTTTTTTTTTAATCTACCTTTATTTCTATGCCCTGTGGAACCATTGTAAAGACACTTTGTTATACTGTTCTCAGGTTTTCTCAACAATTATCCTACATGCCAGCGTCTTTTCTTAATCTCTAGATTCAGTGGAATTCAATTTCTTTAGTTCTCTCCCACAGCTCCACGCTGGTGATTCTACCATTGGACAAAATATTTTAAGCTGAACATTAATTTCCTCTGATTTCTAGATTTCTTAGTGCTATGAAAACTCCTTTTGCTTTCTGTGTTCACATTTTAATATCCTATCTCAGTTCCCCTGTCTTTATTTACATTACTGCCTAAACAGGTGTATCACTCCACATCTTTTAGTGGGAAATCACCAAGAAAACTTGGATTTCCTTTTGCCTGGTTTATTCTCTCCTATTCTCAGAATGAATTTTTTTGCCTGGTTTATTCTCCTATTCTCAGGATGAATCACCACAACACAACTCGCTTCATGAGGAAGACACTCGCTGATTAATACCTCACCTGACTGAGGAGCCAAGAAGTTGCTTCATGTCTGGTGGGGAACTTGATGTGCTGTCTGGTTCGTTATCCGTGCTGTCTGAAGGTGACCCAGGTATCCTGGGCAATGCGGACCTGTTGTTTGCTTCTTTTAAATACCTGACAATCCATAATCAAATTTATAAAATTAGCATGACAAAAAAATATACAATCCATCTACCCAAAACAGTCTTATGACAAATTTTTGTAACCACCAAAGTTGCAAACAGCAGAGAAAAAAAAAAGAGAGATAACTTCTTCTTCTTCTTTCATTCACCTGAAATAGATTATCTAAATCTGCAATGTTGTCTCTAGCATTAATTTTACTGTCAGTTGCAATTCACTCAAAACAAGAGAAGCAAAAATAAAAATCATTAATTACTAGCATCATGAGGGGTAACAGACTGCAGGAGTTCGGACAGGAAAAAAAAGAGTGAGAGAGAGAATGGCAGATAACAGAGAGGCAAAACTGGTAAATAAAACAGCTGAACAGGACTAGACCATAAGGCTGACCAAGAAGAAATTAGTGAGATTACAACTGGATAAACCAAATAAAAACAGAAGGCCAGTCACAAATCTGAACAGAGGCAGGTAAAATCAGCAGCAAAGAACCTCAAGGGTTCAGACATTAAAAGAAGAAGAATACGTATGATAGAAATATTAGCTAAAAAAAATAAATGTAAATTACCAAACAACACCAAGTGTACATTAATATACTCTGCTACACACACACAAAAAGACCTTTACAATTAAAAGTGAAACTATTTCATTTAATTTCAATAAAATTATTCATTTTTTAAATGTAATAAAATTATTTCCACATAAAAACAATACTTAAAACACTAAACCCCTTGTAACCCTGAGGACAAGAAACCTAGGATGCTGTATAAGTCATGATCAGTTGCAGATTGTCTTAAAAGCTTAATTAAACACACACACAATGTACATATTTAAGTGTGGCAGAATTTAGACAACTATTAGGATTGTTGAAGAATAGCTGGCTAAACGGTTTAGAACACTGGGCTCTTCTGCAGGAGACCCAGGTTCAAATTCTAGATGAGGCTGCAGGTTTTTTTTTTCGGGGGGGGGGGGGGGGGGGGGGTTAGTCTGCACAATTTATGGCAACAGCATGCGGCCATAAATCCACAGACTTAAAGACTCCAACTACTTGCCTAGCCTATGGTGCAAAAATAATAAATACAGACTGTAGTGGAACTGCATTTTCTTAAACATACAGGAAGCAAGTGTGACCCTGGAGTCATCTGTAGAAGTCACTGCAGACATTCAGACATGCTTCTCAACACACACCCAGCCTAGTCTGCATTGGCCATTTGAGTTTCTATCTGCCAACCCTTACAGAGACAAAGATTCTACAATAGTACCCAAACACTATAAACCACATACAGTGGCAGAACTTTTAGGAAATGAATAGGCAGATTCAATGGCTGGTGCAGAACTACTTGGTGGTAAAATGATTCGTGATAAGGTAGATGTGATCAAGTCTCTCTGTGCACAATTTGGAGGCACAAACAGATCAGGTGTGATCCAGTCTCTCTGCCAACAATTTGGAGGCACAAACAAATCAACAGGGTCTGGATAAAAATGTGCACCATGGAGTGACCAGGGGGATCTGGACGACACTGAACACACAGAGGAAAGGCAAGATGGACATCAAATCAAAATGCTAGTTCATCAGAACTGAAACTCCACCCTGGCTACTAAAGATAGGGACAGGAAGCTTATGGAAATTACCCAAGGCCAGCAATGTCCATTCCTATCTCCAGTGAAATAGAGCTAAGAAATTATACAGCTTGATTAACATTTCAGTTCCATACCCTATAAGGTACCCCTGCAGAACCTACACACAAAAAAGAGCAGATGTGGCTTACATGTATGCAGACTGTTGGTTTCTGGTCTCTCAGGCAGATGCACTTTGATTTAGAAGGTACACCCCTAAATAGTTGCTTATTACAGCCGAACATGCTTGTTAGAAGGGCAGTCAGTCTATTCTCGTTTCCCCTACAATGGGGACCAAGAACCCACAAGGGGAAATCCTAAACTAATAAAAAGGAAAAAAAAAAAATATTCACCTTCTCTTGAATTTGACAACATCTCTTTCAACATCAGCAGTGAGAACCGGTGGGGCTGACTGAATCAACAAATCATTAGCACTCTCTTCTGTGAGTTCCTCAATGAAGCTCTCATCCTCCACGTGATTTATGTCTGCCCATTGGGTGAGAGTTTCTCTCAACATCTCATTGGGCATGTAGTTAAAGCATTCAATTATTATCACAACCATTTTCTTTTTCATATCTGAAAATGCGTCAATTGAGAATAGAATTATAATAATTTATAACACCATTTCAATAATTGATAACACTTTAGGTTTAGGTTTAAACAATGGATCAACATCATGGCACAAGGGTATAACCCATAAGTGCTCCATTCTACTTCTAAATCATGACCAAATCCGAAGAATCTCAGGGCAGTACTTAAGCTTCGTAGCAACGGCGAGGATCCTGAGGTTTTTGGGTAGATTTTCAACTCTAAATTTTGCCAAAGCAGCCCCGTTAGGCTACCCTTTTCGATTTCCAACTGCCAATAGATTTTTTTTTGTGTGCAACAATACACACATACATCCGACCTTACTACCCAGAGACCAGGGAAAATTACTCCATGCAAAAAAATCCCAGGCTTCACCGGGACCTGAATCTGGGACTTCCAGCACTCGACGCGGACGCCATGCTTGGAGACCACTTAGCCCCGTAACACTTTGAAAATGAATAAGACTTTAAGAACCAATAACATCACTTTTACAATGGATAACATCAATTTAAGAAATGTTGACTGCACTTTTAACAATAGACAATAACAATTTAACAATAGATAACAACAATTTAATAATAGATAACAATACTTTAATAAAAGCTGACTGCACTTTAGCAATTCATAGCTGCAAATTACCACAGATATAGGAAAAATCGGAGTGGCTAGTGACTATGGGACAGCTGGAGGGGAAAAGATGCAAAGGGGGAGAATGTATCATATCGCTGCAAAAGGTGTATTTGCAATCATAAAGAAAAGTTTTAGAGCGGGTGAGAGACGGATATATGAGCTTTCGAACTGCTACAGAAATAATCTTAGAATATCATGGACCAAATAGAAGAAAAATACTTGACATCCTACATGATCTGAGCATCCGGGAGAATTGGCTTATAAACAGCATCCTGTCCTGAAAGCTGGGGTATTTGGGCCATGTTAAATATCATGGTGGCCTGTAGAGAACGGCCATGAAAGGTAAAGTTTCTGGAAAATGAGGCAGAGGCAGACCTCTGTGAAAGCGGATACAAGATATCAAAGAAGCATTGGCTATGAAAACACACACAGCAGGAGAATTGGCTAGAGAAAGAGAGACTTTCATGTGTGCTGTTATGATGGAAATTAAGAAAAATTTGGAAGCAACAGATATGTGGTTTCTGAGACAAATGTTACGAATACCTTGGGCAGCCAGATTAACAAACAATGATTGCTTGAAAGAAGCTAATGAAAGTAGATCTCTATATACAACAGTAAGAAAGAGACAAACCCTGTTCTTTGGCCACATAATGAGAAGAGAGACATTGAAGAACATCGTGACAACTGGAAAGATCAGTGGAAAAAGGGGTAGAGGCAGGCCAAGAGAGACGATGCTAGTTGGGCTGAAATGATGGCATGGAGGGATATCATCAAGAAAGCTGTTCACGGCACCCAGTGATCATGATCTGTGGAGACGCATGAGTGCCTGCACTAGTTGGCAGGGCACACGATGATGATGTTATGATGTCAACATTCTGTAAAGGACCAACTAAATAATGATGATGACAGACTGAAAAATGAAGTCTTATTACAAACTTGTGAAAACAGCATCTCATAAGGAATCTTTGGACCTGATGATGGAGATATAATGTACAGGCAGACCAGCAAACACTTGGAGTCACCTAACAGAAAGAGAAGGCCAATCACAAAGATACTTGGAGTAGGTTGATATCTGCAACAGCGGACCTCAAGGGCTGGGAATGTTTAAGAAGAAGAGAGTTGAGTCGAGTCAAAAAGTGACATCACAGCACTCAGGGCATTCCCATGTGTGCTCTGTCCTCATCTTCAGCAGCCAGCACAGAGTTCCAATATTGATGGTACCAGTCACAATCTGGTTATATGTCGGTCTGAGTGTACTGAGCCGGTCAAACCCTCTGGTTACACCCAGGTGCCTCATTCTTTCCAGGCCACAATAATCTTGTTTCTCGACTGATTCTGCTGCTTGTTCTCAAAGGGCCTTGACCACATCTGCCTTGACATGTATCAATTCACCATCCAGTGGTGCAGATCCAGCCAATCTGTCTGCCTGTTCATTACCCACTATGCTGAAGAAGAGAAAGAAGAAGAAAAAAAAGAAAGAAGTTAAATAACTTGACATGACACAAACAATACCTGTGCTACTAGGATCAAAGTACTCATCATCGCCAGGTTTCATGTGGCAGATTTTCCGTAAACTGTCCGCACATTCTGATGTCAGGAACAAGAACAACACGGGCTGAGTTTGTCCAGAGTAGAACTTCACCTTCTCCACATCCTGAGCAAGTATCTCACACTCAAAAGCATCCTCAGTTCTTTCAGCTAAGGACAACAGAAAAGTTGATTAAAACTACTAGCGTGTTGTTATCAATAGTTGGCACTGCTGTCATGAATAATGACAATTCTGTTATGAATAATGGCAATGCTGTTATGAATAATGGCACTGCTGTCATGAATAATGGCACTGCTGTCATGAATAACTGACACTGCTGTTATGAATAACTGACACTGCTGTTATGAATAACCGTCACTTCTGTTATGAATAATTGGCAGTGCTGTTTGAATAATTGGCACTGCGGTTGTAAATAATTGGCCCTTCTGTTATAAATAACCGGCACTGCTGTTATGAATAACCGGCACTGCTGTCATGAATATCTACACTTATACTTTGGATAATTGTCACTGCTGTCGCAAATAACTGCACTTCTACTATGAATAATTGGCACTGCTGTTATGAATAACTGGTACTACTACTATGAATAACTACTATGTAATGATCCAAGTTTACCATAGTGACAGATGTTTTGCTGTAGTGAGATTAACAGCGACTGAAAATAACCTTACAAAGAGCCGTGGCTTCGAAAAAAAAGGCAAGGAAAGACAGTCACGAGATTAGCAAGACTGTGGTGTGAAACAAGAAGGGGTGAACTGTATTATAGTTAGGGGTGCAAAGTGAAAATATGAGTAGCAGGTTGAAAGAACTAAACTTCATTCTGTGTTTGGCACTGGAATGAGGAGCTTGTAAGAGTGGTTGTGAGTGCATATGAATAATCCAAGCAGCATGTAAAGGGACCTTTCAGTGGGTTAATGTCATCACCAATAAACAGGGGGAAGATCTGGAGGAGGAGCAGGTGATTCTGACAGTGTGATTGACTTGGCTCTAGTGTCGCCCACCATCGCCCTTGTTTATATATGGAGTACACTGGGGTACCATCACATAAGACAACAATGGCTTTCAAGTTATGCACAAAACAGGTCAAGAATGAGAAATAGGACGATTACTGTAAGGTGTGCTCTGAAGGATCTCTTGCCACATTTCAGTGACTTCATCAGGCAATAAATGGCACCACACGACATCAGGGTATCCCAGACTTTCAAAGCACAGATTTGACATGGCAGAAATCTGATGCAGATAAAGGTTAGGCTCTCCTTCAGTGCTATTTGGACCAGACAGACCAGAAAGATGAGGCAGCCAGACTGAGAGTTAAGTCAACACTTTCAGGGTTGGATGACAAGTCAGAGCTAAGAGACGATTTCAGCATTACAAATGAGACCATACAGACAACACTCAAGAAATCGTCCAACACCTCTCCGGGTCCCGACGGCATCCAGTATGTTGATATGCTGCATACGTCAGAGGACGATATGTCAGAACTGGCAGGAGAGTTCAACGTCAGCATCAGAAGTGGTCAAATCAGAGAGGCGTGGCTTCACAGCTACCTACTATACTTACCAAAACCAAATAAAGACCATTCCAAGATCAGTGGCTACAGAACCATTACCATGCACAACACTACAGGCAAGCTTCTGGAGAAAATTGTAGCACGCAGACTCACCGATGACTTGGAAAAGCATGACTGGTTACCATCCACACTTGAAGGATACAGTCGAAGCAAAGAGACAGGGCTCAATGCAGCAGTTTTTCATCTGTGAAGTCTAGGAAGGTTTTCAGATGAGAGAAGAGATATGTGCAGCTGCACTAGACTTAGAGGATATGTACAGCAGAGTACCATTTGAATACTTAGTGCACATAACTTCTTTAACTGCAAGTATCTCCCTTCAACAACCGCAGCAGTTTCAGAGACAGGTGATACGCAGGTGTGGTTCTTGGTCCTCAGAACTGATAACCATCAGTCCAGGATTGCCTCAAGGAGCTCCACTGTCTCCAGTTCTATTCAACGTGTACACAGCGCTGGTAACTGAGCAGGGATTGCACGGGAGTGGCAGGACCTCGTCATCTGCTGATGATGTCTTGGTATATCGACATGGAAGGGATCGTCAAAAGATTGCCAAGTCAATGCAGAGTGAACTTAATTGCATCTCCTCCTGGTGTGTAGATTCTAATACTCATGTCAACTCTCAGAAGGCCTCAGTAACATGGTTCTCCTAGAACATGCATATTGTGAAGGAAGACTTACCAGCAGTGGAAAGCAGTAAGGAATTTTCAACATAACAAATCTGATGACATAGTTCGGAGTGAGGTCTGAACGCAGCCTGTCCTTCAAAGAACATGTTGACCATGTTATAACAAAAGCATGCAAAGGCCTGTCAGCAATGAGGGTCCTGGCCGCCACTAATACTGAGCAGAAACTGCTTCTGCTTCTGTTCCAGGGACTTGTACTTTCTCCCACTGAATATTCTCTAGCCATTCTCACTGTCAGCCGTACTCAAACTGAAAGACTTGAAAGGCGTAAAACCAAGCAATGCACATTATTCTGGGCTGCAGTGGAAACATCTTTTCTGTAGCAATGAGGTACCTTCTTGACTTCCCTACCATGAACTACAGGATCAAGATCTGGAAGGTCGTGCATACCTCAAAATAAGCTCAGATCTGAAGCACCCTGTGTACTACATGCTCTTCAGGAAAAAGAGCAATAAACTTTAAAGGGGCAAATCATGGCAGGGTAGGGCAGAGGATGACATCATGTGGGTCTGCAAAAAAAAAACCCAGATGTGCTGATCTTCATAGACGGGTCCATTATATGAGGACATAAAAAAGTGTATGGGCATTTACAGCTCACTCTTCATGCAAAACTGCTCAAGAAGCCAGCGGTTCCTTCTCCATGACTGCCAGCAGCGTGACGATGGAGGTGATGGCAAGCTTTCCTGTGGCTAGAATCACAGGACCATTACTGCATGCGCGTGCCGAGTGAGTCTTTGAGCATGATCCGGCGGTCGAGGCAGGCTGGTTACAGTTAGTGGATTGAGTCATCGCAAAACTCTTCTGTGTGTGCAGTTACCTTCATATTTGTCACAGTTAATGCAGGTGTTGTTAGTAATGAAAGAGCTGATAAATTGGCCTCTGCTGCATTAACTGACCAATCGGCACTGTGTGGAAGATGATGACAACATCAGCCAGCCACTTTTACTTCCCAGGACTACATCTGGTATCCACTAAAGGCTGGGTCAACCCTGGCTCTATCAGGACCTGAACCCATGACCTTCCGATCCGCAAGCAAGCATCTAGCCGCTAAACCACGGCGGCTCCCTCAAGTAGCCTGCAGCGGCCATGAATATTTGGTTATCTGTTCTTGTCAAGATGGATGCCTGCCAAAAGAGTGCCAGCTGTTCCAAGTGAATACATCGGTGAGAGGTGAGCCTGCAAACAATCGTCTATGAACTTAGCATGTACTGCCAGGGAGTAATTAAGTACCTATGATACCACTGAGCTGTGTGGCTGCCGGTCATAACCCTAGAGAACCGATTAGTAACAGTGGACAGAGACCAGACTATGCAACCTGGAACAGTGAGATAAATGTTTTTGTCAAGCTGTATAAAATCTTGTCCCTGTTGCTGTCTACTGGGACAACCTTAGTCCCAGCCCTCTGTAATGTCCTCTTAATCTTAGGAATAGACGTCACTTTAAAATGTAACATAAAAATCAGTGTGACACAATTATGAAATAATATGATGTCGATGTGACTTCACAATTTAACCCCCCCCCCCTCCCCCCCCCCCCCCCCCCTTCACCATCTTGTATTTTTTCACCTCAAGTTATATCTAAATAGAAAAATGTTAGAGTCAATATAATTACATCCACCTTGTCTACATACTACGCATAAAAGCTGTTATACATATGTAGTGAACAGTGCCTAAAGTCAGCATGTCACCAAAACACCCGAGCCTAGAGCTCGGCAATATGGGGCGGGGTAACAGGATTCAAGCCAAAATATTACAACAATACTGAGAAAAACTTACATCTAACTTTGAAACAAATTCCATGCAGATTGATTAATAAAGGTCCCTCCGGCTGAGTGCGCATGGATCCGATTCGGACACTTCGTATCTCAATCTCAAAAGTTGCAGGATCATCACCATCACCATCCTCGTCGTCATCATCCTCGTCGTCTTCATCATCAAACCTGTCCATCACTGGAGCCATTACCTGCTGCTGAATTTTCTTGCTCAATTTACTTTGTCCTTCCTGGGGGAAGGAAAACAGAAGTCAGGCTCAATGATTTTCCCTGCTGGTCATACCTATCCAAATGCATTACTAAACATTAACACGACAAAGCCTGCTCAACGTGCATACTCACACACACTATTAGAAATTTATAAGTAGAAAATGTAACAAAGTAGAAAATGTAATAGATAGCATCAAGGCACAAAGTGACTGGTACTGACGAACTCCCTGCAGAAGACATCAAAGCAGCTGGAGAAACCTGTACTTGTAATAATCCGGATTTTCAGCTTTTACAGTCAGGGAACAAAACACACAACATAACATAAACACACAACAGTTCCTTCTTTTCATAATATGACACAGAATTATGACCGTCTCTTTTCTGCTGTTTGCTGCAAGCTTGTTGTGGACACTGATCTCCATTGTGCCTTGTCTAACATCAGACCAATAATAGCAGGTATTATCAAGAAAAAACCATGTCAACCATCATATTGATATTTGGACACTATAAGTATCAGTTCCTGGTAATAGTTTCAGATGTTATTTGACACTGTAAATGATGTGCATGTTTTTCACCAAGTTCTTGTAAACAGCATGTGTGATTTTTCTTCTTCTTCTCTTTTTAATCATATCCTGTTATGTTGGGGACAGGAGATCTTGCCATATACTCAAGGGGGGGGGGGGGGGGAGGTCTTGCCATATACTCAAGAGGGGCGCAAGCTGAAGAAGGTTGGAGGTCACTGCATTCGACAAAACTACAGATAAGTTCAAACACAGGTTCAACAATTACAAAACTTTATAAAGTGTGTGACGGCACGGGTACCTCATCTTCCATCAACACTCTTCGGAACCTGCCAAATGCTGCAACTGGCTCGGCAGGGGTTGAAGGGAACAGTGGTGATTCACTTCCTGCAGATCCGGCTGGACTGGGATTGTGGTTAGCCATGTTACTTGATGTTGATGACGGCTCATCTTCATCAGAAGAGATGGTGACTGTGACTGTTGGGGAAATGTTAAAAGTCAAAACAGATGTTTCCATGCGTGGTTCTAATTTTAAATCTTAACTTTAACAGAGGAATAATCATGACATTTAAAAAAGAACTGAACATCAAGGAAGACTGGCTTATAAACAGATCTTGTTTCGGAAGGTGATATATTTTGGTCATATCAAGCGCCATGGCGGATTGGCAAAAATAGTAACAGAAGGCATGGTATCAAGAAGAAGGGGCAGGGGCCGGCCAACACGAAGATGGGCACAGGATATAAGTGACTCCTTGAATTTGAAAGTACATGAGGCGGGAAAGCTGGCGAGAGACTGAGTTCCTTTCAGGCAGACCGTGATGACAGTGACTTTTCGCAAAAGACCTGCCACATGATGATGATGAAATGAGAAATTACATTTTAAATTAAAAGCTTGAAACATGAAATCAGCTTTGCTAGAAGTCAGCATTTAGGATTACTGTATCGTTCCCACCCACACACTGGACTGCAGGTTTTTTCATACACTAATTTAACTGTTTTAAACAGCTGAATGGGGATTCTGGGATTTGATTTTGCCTGCTTCTCATTCATGAGGTACTAATCATATGGACAGCAATCTTGGAGGGGAACAATGACCCCCACCAGTGAAATACCACTTCTGGTGTGTTGGCTCCTTTCTGTCCTTGCAGATGACAGTGTTACTGGGAGTCATGGTTAGAGTGACCTGAATGACCTGCTCATGTTAAAGAGTCTTCCACAATCAGAGAATGACCACTGTTTAACCCTTTGGGGATGACTAGGTCGATCTATCAGCCCAAAGTGAAATAGTCAAAAAGATGGCTGGGCTGATCTGTCTGCCTAGTAATATAAACCTTGAGATTGGCTGGCTGGTATTCATAGCAGTAATCAGACTGCTTCTTGTATTTCTTCCATATGCGAGCTGTTCAATGGCAGCTTTCATGAAAGTTTGTTGCGTTCTGTAATTTTACATCGGTTTCTTTGGGGGTGTACCTGTGTCCAACAATGGGAAGAAAGACTGTTGCATCAAAGCAACAGATATATATCAGGCAGGAAAAGGGGTAGAACCATGTGCCAGAGATGACTGGATGGCCTACACGGGCTTTGCTTCCCAAAACACAAGTGTTCGGACACATTCACGCTGCATTCATCAGAAAGTTTAGCCAAACTGTTCATTTTATTCATGTTTGTTCCAAGTAATAAAAAAAAATGCATGCATAAATAGGCAAATTTTATATCTAATTTGAACAAATGTTGAGATGTCAGTGCTATTCATAAAGACTATGTTAGTTAATTCATTTTCCTTCACAAATATATTTTTTGTTTTGTATATGTTAATTAAAACGCTTATTTAAAAAAAAAATAATGTTGTGTGTGTTGTAAACTAAGAGAATCCCCTACTGAAGGCTCTGTCTTCTTGGTAATGAAACTCAAAAGAGACTGTCTCTAAAGGGTTGACACAAATATTTAATGTGTTTCTTCTCTGGGACTCAGCTCTCTGTGTGGGTTCACAGGCCTCATTTTGGGGGTAAAAACCGAGCTGATCAACTGACCCCTAACAAGTATGTCATAAAAGTGACTAATTCGGGATTTGCTGAAATCGGATGTTGTGGGCCAAAAGGTGCAGATATCACAGCCTAGCTGTAAAAAAACAATACAATGTCCCAAATGCCCTTTTAAGTGTGAGGGGGGTGTCGAGCTTTTTAACCTATTTGCAATCATTTTCTCTATTACAAATAACTTGTGGGGAATAGGCACAGATATACTTTCAAACAACTCTTTTTCAGGCAGGAAATCAATGCATCTGTTCACTTACAAAAATAACTCCAAATGTAAGTAAACAGAAACAAGATGCAACGAGCCAGTGCACTTATATACCAACTGACACCTTTATTAAGACATCCAAACATAAGTATGAGCGCTAAGAGCCAGATTATAAACAGCATGTTATTACCAACACTGAGCTACCAGTGCCAGACTTAAGACATTATCAAAAGCTAACCTATGTAAAGTTAACACCTCTGATATATGATGCCTGAGAAAAGTCGCCAACTTGACCATCTGAGACAAAGATAGAAATGATATTATCAGACTGTAGAAACATGACTGTGCAGCAAATTCACCGAGAAACAGAAGATCTAATAGTTTGGTCATCTAGTAAGAATGCAGCCAGAACAACTACCAACTTGGGCGCTATACATGAAAATATCTGAAATGAAAGCAAAAGGCCACCATAGGAGAAAATGGATTGATGACATTAAAGAGCTTCTATTCTACATCGACACAGTATGACAACAGCTAATGATGCACATCAAGCAATGGATCGCAAATTGTTCCTCCCCAAAACATTTACCGGCAGAAGTGGAAATTGGTGATAATAATGATGATGATGTAAGCAAAGTAAAGCAGCCTTTTTATTTTCATGCCAATGGCGTTAAGGCATATGATGCTAAACTCAGATTTGTACAGACCAAATGGCATTCAGTAACTATTTTACACTGGGTTGTCCTCAGAACCTAATTCATTTTGGAAATAAATCTGACTCGACGCGGACTCGAACCCCAAGACATTTGGATTGGCAGACTTCAAATGTAGAAAGTATATACTTCTTGGGGGAAAAAATGGCGTTGACAGAATTTCCATTTTAACGCCTTAGATCACAAATTAATCATCTGGATAAAGCTCACCTGGTTCATCAGTCTTCTTTGATCGTTTTCTCGGTGTAGCATTCTTAGCTCTGGGACGGGCTGGACGTTTCTTTCCGGACCCATCGCTGCTGCTTTCAGAACCACCACTGCTCCGTTTTTTGCCAACCAGAGAATCATCAGTACCACTGTCCTCAGATGTTTCACCTGAAGGGAAATCCCCAAGTATTAGAGAATGCAACTGCGATTTTGTATCAATTGTGAGTGTGATCTTTCCATGTGATTTATCATAAATCAAACAGGTGAATGCTGAGACTGGCTGAAGCTTTAACAATACAAATGTGTAAGTCTTGGTTTGATTTGGTTGATACAATTGATCAACATCCTGGCACAAGTAGTAACCCATAAGTGCTCTATTCTACTTCTAATTCAAACACGAGTCCGAAGAATCTCAGTGCAGTGTACGAACTCCACAGACCTGGCGAGGATCCTTAACCCTACCAGACCTGACGCCCTGAACCTAACTGTCCCTATAACCTGAGCTCCTGAGCACTAACACGCAAAAAACCAACATGATGTACAAAAAAATTAGTTACATGCAAACAAGTGGTTAGAATAAAATAAAACTTGGAGACATTGTAGAAAATAGGTTTACCTTTCATCTAGCACTAATCTTCCCCCTTTGTGTGCCAATCCACCTAGTAGGATCAGTCTTGATTCACAAAGTGAGCACCAGATGTTGCTGTTTATGGGACACAACCCTTTCTCTTACTATCGATCAAGTTTTAAATCTGTAATTTTCATAATTCTCCTCCTCACTCTAGCTCTAACTGACTGTGTCACTTCAACTGGGAACATATTCTTTATGAACGTATTCACAGTCTGAATTAAACAAAGTCTCAATCAACTGTTGGACTGTGATAAGCCTAGACCTACGTCACTTTCTTGTTGAAGCCGCTTGTTTCATTGAGAATTTTCCGAATTTTTTTTTACATCAAACCACACAAAGAAATCTCAACACACGTCGGAAGTCATTCACAATGACGTCTGATGGCGATTGGCTGGTTATTTTTAGTCTGTGGGGCATATTTGTCACGTACTACTTAAATTCCCGGAAAGGTGGGCCAGCGGTTTAGCAGCTGGTTAGGAAATTCCCGGAAAAACGGGCCAGCAGTCTGGTAGGGTTAAATACTTTGGGTAGATTTTTAACTCAAAATTTTGCCAGGGTAGCGCAGTTAGGCTACACTTTTCAATTTCCAACTGCCAATGGATTTTTACATGCGTAACAATACACACAGGCGTCTGTCTGATCTTACTACCCAGAGATCAGAGGAAATTACAAGAAGTCCATGTGAAAAAATCCCAGTCTTTACAGGGGCCTGAATTCAGGACCTCCAGCACGAGGCAGACGCCATGCCTCAAGAACACTCAGCCCCCCCCCCCCCCCCCCCCCACCTTCTTATAATGTGGCCCCAAGTCCTCAGCCCCTTCCTCCCCTTCCATCTACATCGCAAACATGGTAAATACAGGCAGTATAATGGCAGTTTTTAAACCCCTGTAATGTAAGCAGAAGGAATTCATTATAAATATGAAGTTGCCCTGGTAAGTCAGGTGACGATCGTGAACAGACCGGTGATGAACACAACGTACTGAGAGTGACCATTTGTCTGTCTATGGAATTTATTCTGTTTTTGTGCTTTACTATATGGTGATGTAACTTTGCAGTAATGCACCTGGTGCGATACGGTGAAATATGCCTTACAATTAATTGTGCACTGTATTGTTTGTGCCCAAGCGCATACTTGGGCAGTCTAAGCAACTGAACTGAAACACACATATAGGAAGAAAAACCAAAAAAAATAAACGTACAATTTTTGAATAAATACATGGTAGATAAGCTGAGTTTAGACATGCAAACACAGCACAAACATTTATATTGGAAGAAAAAACTTAGTTTAGAGGGCATAAAATAATAGAATATAAATGTATAACTGCCCCCCCCCCTCCCCCAACTACAAACTAACAGACAAAATCAAATGAATCTATAGAAATCACAGATTTAGAATAAGTAAGGAGAAGATAAAGTGAACTTAAAATGTACTACCACTGATTAGATCAAATTAGGCAAAACATTCCTAATAAATAACAACATAAATCACATACCTGACTTTCCTCTCACTCCTGCCCTGCCTCTCAGTCCTCCACCTTTTGTCCGCCCGGACCGGTCTTGAGCAACTCGTCCTTTTCCCTTTTGTGGACTCCCATTTGCTGAGGCATTTTTTGCATTCTGACCTGCTGGATTTTTCTTCCGAACATTTTCTTTTGATGGAGATGCACCAGATTTTGGAACTGGTGCACTGTTAACGGGCACAGGTGCTGCAGAGATGGACTTTTGTGGTTGCTTTTTCAAACTGTGAATCTTCACTTCACCGTGGAAAATCCTGTTACAGCCTTCACAACATTTGAAGTTTTTGCTGGTATATCCACAGTACTGGCAGACTCTAAAGTAATCCTCATTCTGAAAGTAAAGAATTAATGAATGCATTTTATATGACGAAATATACATTGTGAACTGATATACTTATTTTAGTCTGGTTATATAACAAAACAAATCAAAAAATATAATCAAACTGCCACTGGTACTATTGGGACTTTTATAATAATAACTTACCAGTAAATTTGTGTTTTTAAAATTCGGTGCTTTGTTAATATCCTACCCCATACAGGGGAAATTCACAGGTCACGGGACAGTCTAATATTTCAGGGGGTGGTAGATGAGCTGCATACAGTCATGGGACCTAGGATGCATGCAGCCGTGGGACCTAGGCTGCACTCTCTCGTGGGACGTAGGTGGGTTGTGGTTAGGGCTAGTTCTAGATGTTTTGGGGTCGGTAAAAGCATCAGAAAGCCGGGAAACCCAGTCTTAACACCCTCTAAAATGTTGGACTGTCCTGTGACACCATCTGGGGTAGGATAATAATAAAGAACCTACAATTTGTATGTTAAAGAAATCTTATATGAACCCTTTTACTCCTGGAAGCCGTAAACCCGGAGAGACTTATGGTAGGGTCTAATTCACTGTAAATGCTGCTTTACCTGCATTTCTACAGTGCCATGTTTACAAGACACCTAGTCACTGGTTATGTTTGCATCTGTCAGGCATTATGGCTGTTCAACTGTGTTTACTCAGGGGCAAAAGAATTTAAAAAGATCACCAAGGACCAGAGACCTGAGCCCCAGAACAGAAAGATCACTGATACAAAGATCACCAAGGACCAGAGACCTGAGCCCCAGAACAGAAAGATCACTGATACAATACAACACAACAATAATCAGCAGGCCCACTTGCTATACCCCTGCGGGCCGGAATTGGTCCATGGGTCACCAGCTGAATAGCCCTGATTATATAGCATTCAGAGGAATATTCTAGTTAACCAAATGGCTTTTTTTTTTTTTTTTCAGAAAGCTATGTTGACGTCTTTCAGGAAGTACAGCATTCAGGGAATATGTTGACCATGTGATAACAAAAGCACGCAAAGGTCTATCTACAATGAGGATTATGGCTGCTTCCAACATCCAGCAAAGACTACTCATACTTCTGTTCTAAGGTCTGGTCCTTTCCCCCATTGAATACCTTTGGCCATCCTCACTGTCAGTGCTACCCAGATTTAACAACTTGAAAAGGTGCAAAATAAAGCCATGCGCATTATTTTGGGATGTACAAGAGACACATCCTGTGGAGCAATGAGGTTATCTACTTGACTTTTCAACTATGAACCAATGGATCAGGATCTGGAGGGTTCGGACATACCATAAAATATGTGCTAATAAGAAACACCCACTGCATCAAGCGCTTTTTAGTGAAAAGGGCGACAGGCTAAAGAGGGGAAAATCGTAGCTAGGTCGGGCAGTAGATGTTATTAGACAAATATGCAGCCTAACCGACATCACCCCTGGTGCAGAGTGGATACCTGTGCCTCATGCATTTATTTGTACATTTTCCTGTATTGCCACATTCAACAGGCGACGTAGAGAAGAGAATCCTGTTGCTGTTAATGCAGAGGTCAACGCTCTCATCGGTGAAAATTCAGACGAAGCAGATGCACTAATCCACACAGACGGATCCAAAAAAGAAGTGCATGGGCATTCACAGCACGCCCAGCGGGCAGAACAGTCATAGAAGCCAACGGCACCATCTCCATGACAACCAGCAGCATAATGATGGAGGTGATGGCAAGCGTTCGCCTGGCTCGAAACACAAAACTACACCCGCGTATATATTATATACTCAGTGATTCAATGAGGATTCCGGAGAGTGCAGGCAGGTTCGGTGCTAAGACAATGGCTTGAATCATTACAGAAGTCCACTGTGCGTGAAGCCACCTTTATTTTTGTTCCGGGATACGCAGGCGTCGATGGAAATGAAAGAGCTGATAGGTTGGCTGGATCCGCTATCACTACCGACGGTCAGCCTATGGATCATGCTGATATTATAAATGCCCCCAGAGAAATGGGAAGGATAGAGGACTTTGAGGGCAGTGAATCCATATCACTCGCCAGAATGGCAGACTTGGGAATTAAGATCAGCATAGCAAAAAACGAGACGCACACCAGAAGACTTGTTAATCAACATAGAACTGGTACTATTAGCCATCGGACGTTGGAGTTCATATTGAGGGAAGGATCTGAGCACCTATGAACATGTCCGGAGTGCAATGATGATAACCCAACTAATTAACTAACTAAGTACCTGTGAACAGATTAAGTTTTGCTTTATATTAATTAATTCTGTGCCGTCGGCACAATGAAGGTTGACTACAGTACACTCACTGAAGTCTTTAGAAATATTGGGCAGCGAGAACTCAAACTCTTCAACAGTACTCTACGACAGTGCAACTCTACGACAGTGCAACTCTACAACAGTGCAACTCTACTGCCTAAAACCATTAAAATGGATTTTTTTAAACGATGCTGAACTCTTAATTTTTGAAAAATCATGAAACTGTTAAACTGCTTCACTAAACTCTAAAGCACCAGAGTCGCAATGAACAATATACTGCCAAAGGAGACATCAAGATTATAACATATTCTCCCATCTGGTTTCTGCCATGACATCACAGCGTTCCATTTTGAAAGAAATGACACAAAGCTATACAACTGGCCATTATTTCATGAACTACTTACCTCACTAAAGGGTTTCTTGAATATGAATTCGTCTTCCTCCTCCATTGGCTCAGTTTTATTCTGTGGCTGCCCTAAGTTGCCTACTAAAAAATAGGTAATGTATGGATCATTCGTACATATCAGTAAGTAAGTAAAGTAAATTTTATCCCACCAGGAAATCACACAGAACGTACATATCAAGAGTAGAGTAGATTTTATACACAAGCAATAAACACCCGATGACACAAAGTGCCACCATGCGGATGAGGATCATCCGTGGAGAGGTCCCAGAAAATGCGTTTAGCCATTAGACCAATTTATGGCCGGGCTATTTTATGGCCCCTGGCCAGAGCCAGGGTGGGGCTTCAAAATAACGAAAATTGCATCTCACAATGAGATGACTGGATTGTAGGTAAGTACATACCGACTAAATGACTTTCTACCCCACTAGGACATCACACAAGAGATAAACATCCGATGACACAATGTGCCACCATGCGGATGAGGATCACCATGGAGAGGTCCCAGAAACCACATTCAGCCATTAGGCCACATTTATGGCTGGGCTATATTGCAGCCAATGCCAAGAGCCAGAGTAGGGCTTCAAATAACGAAACTTTCATCCTAAAAAAGGGCGGCAAGACTGTTAAGCACATACCAATGACAATCAAATATGAATACAAATCTAGACTATACATCATAAACCATTTCTGTATTTTGTGTGTTTATTATATATGACGTGTTAGCCTCTCCCAAACTGTGACCAATACACTGGTTAAATTTTCATTTGCTATTATGTCTACAATGTTTTATTTAACAGGCACACTGACTGCCCAAGTTATTGCACATTTCTTTGACTGAAGATAAGGCAGCAGTGGAGACAAAGACGAAGTAGAAGACAGGATATATTAAATATAGGGTTTTAGTTAAACCCCTATTACCACTAGGCCAACATACAGCACAGCAGAGGAGACCCAGATGAGGTAGAGGACGGGAGAATAAGACTTTCTTTGACTATCCTGGGTGAAGCTGGGCAATTAAATCTAGTATCAAATATTATAGAAAATGTAAGCCTTCCAGCTGATTTGTTTGCAACGAAAATGAGATATTTAAATCCAGTGACATTTAAAAATGTCTTTAAAAGTACATCTTATTTTATAATTTTTTGGCCAAACTATGCTATCAGTGCCAAATGTAGACACATCTTCCAATGAAAGTAAAATTGTGACAACGGAGATGAAATGCCTTAGAAGAGCTGCAGGAGTTTCAAGGAAAGATAGAATACAAAATTACGAAATCAGACGAATGCTAGGAATAAAGCCAGTCTCACAGGTCATCAAAGAACAACAAATGAAGTGGTCTGGACACCTAACAGGAATGCCCTGGTTCTATCTGCCACAGCAAGCCACACTAAAACGTTACAACATGTATAGAGCAAGTGGAAGACCTCGGAAAACATGGGAGTGATGACATTAAAAACAGCCTTACAGAAATGAACATCAGTCTTAATAGTGCTCTTGACAGAGCGCATCAACAAATGTTACAGCTCTCCCGGACACTTCGATGAGGTACAAGGTGAAAGAGAAGAAAAAGAAAAATAAGAAGAAGAAGACATTTATTTTTAATATAACTGAATTAAAGAACAATTGAAACTAGACACCTTAGTAAATTATAGGCACTATATTAGTAAATCTGTGTTTATCAAAACAATATGTCAAAGACAGCTTTCAAAATGAATCCTTTTACTTGTGATAGCCACAAATCTGGCACTTCTATTAGGGTCTTATTCCCACTGTTTAACCGACATTTCTGCATTGACATGTTTACTAAACACATAGTTAACGTCTTTGGTTATGTATGTTCACACACACAAAAATTATATACGTAGACAGAATCATTTCTTAAAATTTATTAGTGACCCATGTTAAATGTTTTTTCTAAAAGATTTTTTCAAGAATTCCTAAGGGCTCATAACAAATGTTTTTTTTCTTTTAAATAAGTGTTCACAGGACAAAAGGTTAAAATGAGATATTTATATTCAGGGACATTTAAAAATGTCATTAAAAGTACATCTTATTTTATAAGTAATTTCTTCTTCTTCTTTTTCTGCTTTCAGTCAAGCAAATATACAATATATTTCCAAGTTACATGCCTCACCGCAACATGTAATCTGCTTGCCTGATATATACCTATTTTTTCTGCATGCAGAGTTCCTACTATTCAGACAGGTTATGGATATTCTCATGACAGACCTTTAACCACAGATAAGTGATTTGTGTATTCTTGTTTTTAACTGTACCACTGTCTGTTTTTGTTGTTTGCTGTGAAGGCTTTCTAGTCGCAATATTCATTTTGTCAGTTGTGATACTGCGAAGTTAAACAGTTCTATTTCTCAACTGGACTGATGTTATCAATATGCACAGCAATGTCTTTTTAGATTTTTCCTGGAAGTTTGGTCATGGCCAAAGCTAAAAATCTACTTGGAACCCACAACCACTAGACAGCAGGTAAATGTGCTAGCAAGGCTTCCAAATATCATCATCATGTGCAGTGCAAAACAAAAGTGTAGACCGTCATGTTTCGCTATCTCACATGATTACCAGAATCAGGGATCAGGTCAGGGATCCTGTCTGGTTTCATCCATGAGGCTAAGCCCTCCAGGTATTTATCTTCTTGCCTTTGCTAGTGCTGTCTTTCCATAAATCTAGCCAGACATTAACATGTCTCAAGTCTATTTGTTTTCATAACATGTCCAAAAAATGTTGAACTGGCTCCCAAACATCTCTGTCTGTCTCTCTCTCTCTCTCTCGACCAGAAGACATCTAGTATGGAGCTAAAGAAACTCACCCTGGTGTAGAGGTTTCACATATGTGGACTGACCGGGTGATAAATCTGCTGGTCGTCTGTTACAGCTGGGAAGAAAGAAATAATCAATTTCTCATTTATAATGGAGGAGAAATATACAATCAGTTCATCAATTATTGTTTCTGGTCTCTTACATTTGGGTAGAAAACAATATTTGAGAAGACAACAACAATGACGACAAAATTAGTTATCATTTATGATTCTTCTTCTTCAGGTTCACCAGCTGTAAAGCCTGGCAGAAAGTTCTGGTTGTTCACCCATTTTTGGACTTTAATCTTGTTCGAAAACTTGAATTTTGCAAGCACATCTGTTTTACATATATGTATTTTCTTTTGTATGCAGACTGTTGGTTTCTCGTCTCTCAGATAGATATTCCAATTTAAAAATTGATTAGTGGGTTTTTGCAAGATGATGTTGGCGGCAGTGGGTCTATTTGTTTCTATCCCCTACAAGGGGGTCCTGGAACCCATACTGGAAGTTTTGTGGTTCTGGTCTGCTATATTTGTACATATACACACAGACAGACAGAGACGGGGAGAAGGTGAATAGCAGATGTAATGGTGACAGATTTTAAAAGAAGTACACAGTAGCCTGAGAGCTGAAGGGTGTCCAGGTTCATGCATGTATGTACAGGCAAACAGATGCAAAGGGAGTGGCAGGGAGACGGTTGGAGAGATAAAGAGTGAGGAAGGTCCATCATAAAAATCTGAGGCACACAAAGGTAACATGATGGCTCAAGTATCTCCAAGGTCATTACTTCTGCTGTGACCACAATATGCACACAAGCCTGTATACCCATAAGGAGAGAGAAAAAGAAGGACACATAAACCTGGTGTTGGGGGAGAAGAGACAGAGACAAAGAGAGTGATAGGAGAGAGGGGAAGAAAGTAGTGGGAGATAAGCAGTCACAGAAATGGAGTGTGAGAAATAAGAGGGACATTCAAATCCGGGGATGTGGGAGACGAGAGAGAGACAGACTGAGACAAAGAGAGTGATAGAGAGAGGGGAAGAAAGAGAGAATGGGAGAGAAGTAGCAATAGAAATGGAGAGAGATTCCAAGAGAATAATCAAAAGCAGTAACCTGAGAGCCGAAGTATCTCCAGATTCACTACTTGTAGTGTGACCAGGATATGGGAGAGATTCTGTGCCAGAACCAGCATAACTGCAACAGACATTAAACAAAACCACACATATCACACCTGATACTATCATCTTGCTAGACTGTCAACAAGGAATATTATTATTAATGCGTACTTGATCCATCTACACAAGTTAAGATCTAGAGAGAAACATGTCTTTTTAACTAGTTTTAAAAAAAACATCACATGTTGAAAACTAATTCTTTTTCTTTCTTTTTCTTTTTTTTTCAATTTAATTATCTTGAAAAAAAATTTTTTGTTCAACTATGTATCTTTCACTCTGTCGCCCTGAGATGTTGCAAAGCCAACACTTCCAGCCGGGTCTAATTCTGCTATGTAAATGTCACTTTTTTCAACTGGCCTATAGTGACCTGTTTACAAGACGCATAGTTAATGCTACTGGCTGAGTAAGTATAATAGCTAGAAACAGTATTTAGAGGGTTTTTCTTCTGAACTAAATAGATACTAACGATACATGTTTACACTATTTTACAATATATTTTCACTTGATTTTTCTTCTATGTTCACCTTCAAAATGGTGGCTGGCATGCTGTATAGTGGATTACAGCTAGGCTGTGATTCTACACCTTTTGAATACAATAAACAAACAGATAATGTAGTGATTGGCACTCTCAGAAAGAAGTTGAAAGACAGAGGGACACATAAGACATATCTATCTTTCTACTTCTTTCTTTAAGAGCCAATCAATACATTATTTGTCAATTGCATATATGTTTCCATAGCCTCTAGGGTTTCCTCTGTGTTTATTTCGATTCTTTGGAACAACACATCCGATCTCAGCCAACCTCAGTCACCTTTTAAACTATGTTTAAGGGGCAGTGGCTCTACTCCCCTTGCACCCTCCTCCTCCCTAACCATGGACCCTGGAACCCCCACAGGAGGTTTCGCTTTCTGTTACAGTAGCACTTTTGTGCACACACACAAAAATTGCCTGAATTACAACTGAGTTGGTAGGAATCAGACACCTATTTTTCCATGATATATGCACAGTTGTGTTATTCATTCATAAATGACATCCTACCTGACAGAAATCACTTAATGCTCAGCTATTTGTTCATTGCTGGAAATGGAAATCTGAAGGGTACAGACCTCTATTTGCCCAACATGCTCTGAACAAATTAATAATCAAAAATTTAAATAAAACTAATTAATCAAAAACTTCGTTTAAAAAATGAAAACCAAGAAGACACATAAGTAACAAATATACAGCTGAAAAAAATGCAGTTATCCAATGGTGCATTTTTATTTAACTGACAGGAAAGCCTGTAGGCCTAAAAACTATCAATGAGCCAGATGCAAAAGAACCATCAAGCTGAATCCTAAGGTATTCTTGTGTGCAATGTGAAAATTTTTACTTATTAAATTACAGATTTTGAATGCCAAAATCATGTTCCTATCAGTAGCTAAGCTTAAATGTTAAAAGTACAGAGGACTGGCTTCACTGCACTGGATTTTATCCCACATGACTCAGTCTCTCTCTCCACAGAACAGCTAGTCGTACAAATCATGAACTCTGCAGCACTAGTGATGACACCCTCCCCCCCCCCCATCACCTGTGAACTGAACGCCAGTGCCGCGAAACGAACCCACGACTTTCAGAGCACGAGGAAAACGGCTTGACCACTTCGCCAAGGAGTATGTATATTATAAATGATTACTTCATATAAACTGAAGCTATAAAGTGATGCAATACCCCTGGCTGACAGTCTCACACTTCTGGTTGGTTGTCTGCATCAATTCTGCTTGGGTCTTGGAACCAGCACCAGGCAAAGCTACTCCCACCATCTGTCTGTCACTGTCACTGTGGAGAAGAATACAAATCAATGCAGACTTGAATCTTTCAAAAAAACTTTCTAAACCTTTGGTTCCTGGTCATAATTTGTGTTTAGTGATTTCACTTCTTTAGAAAGCTGATTAAGGCTTTGTTCAAAACATCTGATGTGTAGTTATAGTAATTTGTGATTTCACTTCTTTAAACAGCTGATAAAGCTTTTGTCAAAACATCTGATGTTTAGTCATAGTCTGTGCTAGTAAAATCACTTCATTAAATAGTTGATAAAGGCTTTGGTAAAAAAAATCTGATGTTTTGTGATTTAAATTCTTTGAATAGTTTGTGCTAGCGATTTCACTTCTTAACCCCTTTCATCCCAAAAAGCCTAAACCTAGTCACCATCGGTTGTGTCATGGATAGTTTCAAGGAAATCCCTATGCTTTCGTGACCAGTGTTTGTTTGTTTGTAGTATTTACGAGGCAAAAGAGTTAACAAGCTGATGTGGTAGGTTACTCTGTAACTATAAACTGATCCAATAACATATGGGTGAAAGATAAAATACACAAGTTTTACCCTACAGTGTACATAAAATGGGAAAGTTGGCAAGGGACTGAGTGCCTTTCGGCATGTTATGATGATGAGCAAATTCTGCTTATGGATGTTGATATATTACACAACAGAAAAGTGTTAACACTTTACAACCCCACTACAAATGTACAGAGCACAATCATCATTGTCAACTGCTATGCCAACTGGTGTGGACATTCATGATTCTCAACATCTTGCAACCTCAAAAACACCTGTATCAGTTTGTAGCTGACACCCTTGTGTGCCACAACAGGTGACGGCAGTTCAAGCTTCATGACAACCCAATCACCCCATTACTGCTTCATTTCTGTGCTAACAAAAACCACACATTGCCTCTTGTGAAATAGCTGAAACAGACTGCAGTCTCAGCAAAGTCAATGGCATACACACATGTTAAATGTATACAGCAGCCATCAGAAGTGCCAACATAAACTGTCTGCCACTAGAATTTGCCAACACAAAATCAGATCAACAATCTTCTGTCAGCTTTTTTAAAACTCTTTGTTTCTTTTAAAAAAATCTTTCCTGTTGCCACATCTTTTTCTTCAGCACTCCAAGCCCTTGAGGCTCTTTGCTGCAGTTATCACCTGTTTCCATCATCTTTATGATTGGCGTTCTCTTCCTAGATGGTGAATCCAAGTGTTTTTAAGTTAACCTGTATATTTATTTTTTCTCTCCACATTCTTCCTGGTCTGCCTCACTGTGCTGCATATTCCAGCTTTAATAGGAAGGTTAACATCACTGACCAAAATACACGCAAAATGCGAATAAACATACCCCTCCACCCAACTATAACCTAGAAGGGTTGAGCCGGATATGAACTGTCTATTCACTTGATGCAAACTGAAAATGTATAAAAGTTTACACACCTGGTTACACAAAACTGACAGCCAAATGTAAGAGCAGAAATGTTGTTATACTTATTTACAAGTGACAAGTGTGATTACAGTTGAAACAGCTAGCCAAATTTACAAGTGACAAATGCAATTATACTTAAGACAGAAAGCCTGAAACACAAGAGACCCACAAGGTTACACAAAATGGGTGGCTAAATTTACAAATGACAAACATAATAACACAAAAGGGGTGGCTAAATTTATAAATGACAAATGTGATTACACAATAGGGGTAGCTAAATTTACAAGTGACAAATGTGATTATACTTAAAACAAGTGGCTAAATTTACAAGTGATAAATGTGATTGCAAATATTAGGTGCCCAAATTTATAGAGTACAAATGTGACTACAATTGAAATAGGTAGCCAAATCTTCAAGCAAACAAATATGGTTATAAACTCTTTCGGCACCACACAAATCACCATACATTCATTATTTAGTCCAAAGAGTTCACATTTCTGACTTTTCTATCAAATATAGTCATTACATTAACTCATTACATCAGAGCTGTTAGTTCTACTTTATCTGCCATGTAGTTATTTTAATTTCTTTGAATTCAAACTTGGTCACTTTAAACAAGACATTCTCGGAACAGCTAGGAGTTAAAGTAATCAGCACCGTAACTACTTTCACAACATTCAATCTACCTGGTCATCAAAGCCTGTCCATGCTGTACAGGTGGGGCTTGCAGTACGTCATGACAAACTGGCATCTGGTTCTGTAGAGGTCCACTTGCAGTTATCTGGCCCGGCTGCCCAAGAGCTAAGAGAAGCATTTTTGGGTTAAAAATCATGGGTTTGAAAACAGAAGTCTGAAGCCAAGGTTAAAATAAATAACACAACTACTACTACTTCTGCATTCCAAGCCCTTAAGGTTCATTGCTGCAGATATCACTCGCCTCCACTCATCTCTCTGGTTGGCCTTCTCCCTCCTACTGACATCAAGTGTTTGTAGGTCTGTTTAGACATTATCTCCGCCATTGTCTTTTTGGCTGGCCTCGTGGTCTACGACAATTCCGCTCCCTGCATATACAGTTTTTACCTCTCATTATACCAGTGATCAATGGTGATTTAAAAAGACTATGAATTTTGCTGTGGCTTCTCACTCTCCATTCCCCGCTATTTGCATCTTTAAAAGGTCCCAAGCTTAGTCATAACACTGTTTTTAAAAATTTGTAAGAAGGCTTCATCTCTTTCAGTTGTGCTCCGCGCTTCTGGGCCACATAAAATGACTGCTCTAATCAACGTATTATATATTTTGATCTTGGTGTTGCGAGACAGAGACTGACTTAAGCAGATATTGAAGGGCAATAACAAACCCCCTCTCTCTCTCCATCTCCCTTTACAAAAGCCAAGAGCCTTGAGAATCTGTGAAAGTTTCATCATCATTATCAGGTGCCTTGCAGACTGGCGTGGGCGATCATGCCTCTCCACAATCTGTAATCTCCTGCAGCATGTATCAGTTCATGTGCCGACACACCTCCAATGCATGCAACAAGACTGTCAAGAATCTTCTCTTGTTGTCTTCCTCAATCCCACCTTCCACAGATCTTTCCAGTGGTCACAACATGTTCCATTTCCCTCTTCTCAGAACATGGCCAAAAAATTATGACTGTTTCCTTCTGATGTCTGTGATTAGTTGTCTTCGAGCTCCCGCCTCTCCCAAAACCTCTTGATTGCTCTTTTTGACTGTCCACTGTATTTTAAGCATTCTTCTAAAAAATCACATTTCTGAGGCCTCAAGAAATTGTTTGGCCTGCCTACCGATTGTCCAGGACTCACAGCCATATGTTAAAACTGGATGTATGTAGCAAGCAAGAATTTTTTTCTAACTCTTAATGACAAAGATATATTGCACAAGATGTTCTTCATCTGATAAAATGCAGTTTTTGCCTGTCCTATTCTGTTTCTTATCTTAGTAATGCATCTTCCATCTGATGTTATCCATGTGCCCAAATTCTTAAATTTATGTACTTGTAAAAAAAAAAAACCACAGACTTTTATTACACATTTAGAAATAATTCTTTTCTTTGATACCACCATTACTTCTGTCTTCTCATTATTCAAACTGAGGCCCATTCTTCCATTTTCTACCACCACAATGTCTTTCATTTCCTGTAGTTCTTTCTGACTTGTTGCTATCAAGACTGTGTCATCAGCAAAATGCAAATTGTTTATACTGTGCCCACCAACCACAATTCCGGGCATATCAAATAAAGATCTAATTATATATTCACTGTATAGCGAAAATAAATCAGCTGACATTACACATCGTTGTCGTACGCCCCTCTTTATGCTCTGAAATGTACCTGAACAGTTATTAATTCTTATAGCTGCTGTTTGCTGCCAATACATATGTGGAAGTTTAGGAATTTAAAACTAGTCTCCAGCTTAGAAGTTTTTAATTCTAACATGAAATCAATACTACTGCATAGAGATGCACACACTATAAATATTCCCTAATTGGTGTCTACACAGAACAGAACAAATTAAATGCTCTGACAGAATTACTAATATGAAGCTTCTGGAGAAAAATAAACAAATTCCAGTGAATCAAAACATGAGGAAAAGAGGCTGGTGTTGGATAGGACACATGTTGAGAACATGTGAGAACAACTTTAGAATGGCTTTACACTGGAACACCGGGGAGGGGGGGGGGGTTTAGAAAAACAGCAGACCCAAAAAAAAAAAACATGGAGAAGGGAACTCGAGAGTGAAGTTAAAAAAGTAAGGATATGGCGAGCTGAATGCAATAATAGCAAAGGAGGATGACTTCGTGTAAGTTGGTTGTGGGCCTTTGCAATATTAAGGATTAAAGGGAAGAAAAAGAAGTAGGGGGAAAAAAAGAACAAAAGAATAGAATTTAAGACAAACTAAAATTAGGAGGACAGAAGATAAGTTGAACTCAATGACAAAGGATAAGAAAACTTGGCTCTCCTTTAAATAACGGTCCCAAATGATCTACGCAGAAAGTTAACCATAACAGAGCCTCATTACGTCCTGCCCTACACACATTTAAAAGCTGTAACTCGGGAAATATAGGGAATATAGGTGGCACTATAGTCGGCGAAAAGCTGTCCGCAACTTACATATAACTCGGGCCCTGCCGTAGGATAGCACTATCGGTAGTATTCTCGCGTGTCGCTAATTTTTTTCATCCGTAGTTAATCCTAGTTTTGCCGCCATGTAATCGCCGTAAAAAATCTTTTATGTTTCGCGAAAATGTCGTGCGCAATTAATCCTACTTTTGACATGGTTAAATCGCTGCAAAAGAAATGTGAATTTTAGATATGAGCGAGGCTCTGTTTTTAAAAGGAGAGCCGAAAACTTGCTTTGAGTTGTTTGAGGACCTATGATTCACTGAAGGGAAGGGGAGGGGGGGGGGGGATTAAAGGAGGGCATAAGACCATTTTAAGGACCACCTGAAAATCAGTATGTATATGCATATCTATGAAAGCATTGTGGTATAGCAGTGAGACACACACCTGTGGATCCTGACGGAGTGTGACTTTTTTTAAAATGACTTGGTTGCCAGGTCGACCCAGCCTTAAATGGGCCTCTAGTTAAGTTCTGGGTCCTGGGAAGTAAAAGCAGCCAGGGTGATGCTTACCACATCAACAATATGCTGTCTAGTCATACAGGTCCAGCCCTGTATGCCACACACAATTTACTATTGTGTGCGTGTATATAAATGTGTGTGTGTAATATATATATATATATATATATATCTTGTATATAAATGTGTGTGTAATATATATATATATATATATATATATATATATATATATATATATATATATATATATATATATATATATATATATATATATATATATATATATATATATATATATATATATATACACACACACACACAGGCAACATACTTTTAAAACAATACAGATCAGTGAGAAAACAGATACCTTTCATGTCCGACTGCTTCAGATCCTCAAAGCGTTCTCCATTCCACAAGGCCAGAATAAGAGAATTGTCTTTGGGAGATCGGATCTGATAGACCATGTTTACTGTCAACTGTTGCTTGCTTTTTTCTGCGATGACACATCTTCCTTCTGACACCAGGTCTAAGCAAAACGTCTCAGGCCTGCCCCAACGAAAATGCAGTGAAAAATATTGTTAAAGAAAGCAGGAGATGATGTATTTTATCAAACCTGACCACTGGTTTCTATTAAATCTGGGATGATCCAGGAGAAGAATATCAGGAAGACAAGGACAAAAAGAACACTCTGGGACCAAGACAGGAAGGAATGGTCTAGTTTAAGATAGGGACATAAAGCCAGAGAGCTGGCGCACGTACCATAATCTTAGCCACACAAGTAGTGCAAATAAACCAGACCACAAATATAACCAGAGATTGCTGGCAGCTTCGCTGTCAACAGCAGGTTGAATGTGGTCAACGTTTTCTCCTAGAATTGATGAGATGATGATGATGATTCTGTTGCAGCTTTTCTTTATACATTTGTGTCTTGAAAACTGATTTTAGTGAACAGCTTCAGGCTCCCATACGATATAATACAAGTAGTAGAATCTATGAGTCATCAGAAAACCAGCAGGCATGAAATGTCTTTTGTTAAATTTAGTAGTTTTACTGTTTATATAACTGAACTGTTTTACTGTCTGTTTTACCACTTTTTAGAGTGGTGGAGACTGGAGGGGAGGGGGGGCGCGATTAGGAATGCCTGGCTAGTGCTGTCCCCACGGACTGTGCATGTTAGGACGTTGAACTCTTTCCCCTTTCCCCGACAGAAAAACATTACCTCGCGGGGGGCAAACCCAAGTCTCCAGCTTGAGAGCCTGACGTTGTAACTGTTTGGCCTTATTTATAACTAGTTCTCTTAAATTGGTTGTGCGCTCTATCAAATAAAAGCCAGTCAAAGCAATATATAATCAATCTCTCTCTCTCTCTTGACTGCTGTGTGACAGATGAGTGTTTGGAAGGTCAGAATGTTAGACGGGCCTGCATGCCCAATTTGTGACCCTTCGAAATTAAAGTTTGTTCGTTTGTTCTCTCTCTCTCTTCACAGTGAAGAAAATAAATTAATTCTTTATAACTGAAATATAAAAATCAACTACAGTCAAAAGTAACTGCCTATTTAACGAGGGCAAACACAGGTTTCTGACCATGTCTGCACAAATATGGGCAAATTTTTTTTTTTAAATTATAAAGCATAGCATATGACTGGTCAGCGTCCAACTGTTAAAGTAGTATGAACCTGATGAGATTCAGCAAAATATGCCAGGCAATAAAGTTTACAATCTACGGTCTGTGCCTTCTTTGTTCCAATTTGTAGCAAAAAAAAACCGATTTGAGTAATGTTAAACAGAGTTAGAGGAGCCGCTGGCCAAATGGTTAGAATGCTCAGCTATCAGGCAGAAGATCCGGGGTTGATCCCCAGTAAAGGATGAAGATTGTTTCTATCAGTGGCAAGATAAAATTGTAACCTGCCCAGCACTAGCCATGCAGCCTTAAATGTTCAGGCTCATGACCCAGCCCTACACCACCTCGTGGTAGTGGCAGTACAAACATGACAGTAAGACAGTGTTACAAACTACAATATGAATATGACAACTTACTTAATACTTGGCATCAGAGGCTGCTGCAGCTGGTCAGGCGTCCTTTGCTGCGGGACTGGGAGTCCTATATTTCCTTGTGTTGATGGGACGGCATTTCCTTGCATCTGGAATGCTACATTTACTTGTGCGGGACTTCTAGTGGTGGCCGCATTGTAGCCAGTGGACAGCGGTGAAGAGGACAGAGTCAGAAGTGGTACATCCATCCTATTCTGTAAAGTTTGCGGGGACTGCTGAGAAACACTGCCAAAGTTCTGAGGACCACTTCCAATGTGTTGGGGATGAGGAATACTACTTATATGCCGTGGATTACCTCCAAAATGCTGTGAATTACCCATAATATGCTGAAGGCCACCACCTATATGCTGAGAATTACCTCCAACAAGCTGAAGACTACCTCCGACATTCTGAGGATTACCACCAACATGCTGAGGATTTCCTCCAGTATACTGAGGACTACTACCTATATGCTGAGAATTACCACCAACAAGCTGAGGACTTCCTCCAGTATACTGAGGATTACCTCCAACATACTGAGGATGACCTCCAACATACTGAGGATGACCTCCAACATTCTGAGGATGACCAACATGCTGAGGGCTACCGCCTATATGCTGAGAATTACTTCCAACATTCTGAGGACTACCACCAACAAGCTGAAGATTACCACCAATGTGCTGAGGATTACTGCCAATAATTTGAGAATTACCCCCAACTTGTGGATTACCTCCAACAAGCTGAGGATTACCTCCAACATTCTGAGGACTTCCACAAACAAGCTGAAGACTACCACCAATGTGCTGAGGATTAATGCCAATAAGTTGAGAACTACTGGCAACTTGTGGATTACTTCCAACAAGCTGAGAATTACTTCCAACATTCTGAGGATTACCACCAACAAGCTGAAGACTACCACTAATGTGCTGAGGATTACTGCCAATAAGTTGAGAATTACCACCAACATTCTGAGGACTACCACCAACAAGCTGAAGATTACCACCAATGTGCTGAGGATTACTGCCAATAAGTTGAGGATTACTGCCAACTTGTTGTGGATTACCTCCAACTTGTTGTGGATTACCTCCAACTTGCGGAGAAGATACAACAGCAGGATTTCTAAGCCTCACAAAGTCTGCATTTTGTTGGGGAGCGTTCTGCCTGGGGATATTTGGAGAGACAGCCGGGCCTCGGCTTTGGGATGTGAAGGGGACAACACTGCAAATGGGCCTGCCACTGGAGAAAGTCTGGTTTGTGCCTGAATTAGGACTGACAATGGCAGGAATAGGCTGACGAGGTGGAAGCTGATGCTTTGGCTGATAAGCTGGGAAACTTTGAGTCTGCTGCTTCTGAAGAAATGGCTGACCAGTGTGCGCACTAGGTAACGGAATTGTAGTATGAGGCAGTGGTAATCTATGTTGTGCGTTGATGTCTGGATTCGGAAGATCTGGGGCACCAGATGATTGCCCTTGTGCCGCCTGGGTCCCTTTTTTGGCTAATATTACCTGCTCTAGGCTCTGCTGCATGTACATGACATTAAGTCTGGCAAGTCTAGCCTCACTCGGAGCAGTTTCTTTATTTAACACTGCTCGGAGCCGAGGAGAAGGAGTCATATTTTGCTGATGTGGAACACTTTGAGGAACTGTGGTGATGGAACGATGAACACCTTGTTGTTGGACTGAAGTCAGTACTAGCACCTCAGGCATGACCTGCTGCTCTGGAGCTTTCTGGTGAGTCTGCAAAGATGCTCTTGGACTTGTGGCTTTAACTGGTGACAATGTTTGAGATGTTCCAACAAAACCACTTTGCTGACTTTGCGGTACTGAACTAATTATAAACTGCTGTGTAGGTACAGTTTGTCTCATAACAAACCTGTTCTGCGCACCCTGACCAGGCAGAGGTGACTGACTGTTGGTGATTATAGTTAAATGCTGTACTGGTCTTACGACAACACTTGAAGAACTGCTTTGAGCAGTACCCTGTGGCCTGGTAGTGCCAATCTGACCCTGAGGTTGGCTTAGCAACTGAGATTTGTTAACAAGACCAGGTCTTAGGGATGGCATACCTTGAGAATGACTAGGCTGTGGAGTGCCTTTTGGCAAGGACTGCCTTGGGTCACTTAATTTCAGCTGATTTTGTGCTCTAATTACATTCTGGATTGGTTGCCAGGTATTTGCTTGTGGAGCTGCAAAAGTGGACTGACCTGTTTCTGAAGTGTTTCCTGGCAAAACCTGTTTCTGCGGGTTTCCAAGTGCTAAAGTAATATGTTTTGTCTGCTGCTGTTGAAGTGACAACACATCTCCCTGTGCACGTTTCTGAATGCCAGCAGATGGACAACTATCTGAAGTCTGAAGACCAGATGTCTTTACCTGTTGACAAGCACCATCAGTAGACCCAGGTGGCCCCCCATGGTAACTGTCCTGACTGCTGGATCCCAGTGAAGGCACTGAAGATGCTGACTGCTGCTCATGTAAACTGGATACAGCTGAAGACATGTCTGTTCTATTCTGCCCAGATGGTGGTGTTGAATACATCCTTGACTGTTGCTGCCCACTTGCTAGAGGTATGTGAGGTCTCATTTGATTTCGCATGTGATATGTCTGCCCTTGAGAAGACGAGGACACCACCCCTTCTGCTTCCACTCCATTGTCATTTTCATCATTATAATTTTCCCCTGGGAACATTCCTGCAGCGTAACTGCTGTGCTGAAGCATTTCTTCAATGTCTTCCCGGTCTAAACCCTTCTCTTCAAGACATTTAACAATTTCATTGTATCTATCATCATCCCCACAACAACGCAATTCCTCAAGCAAGGCCGTTTCTCTGGAAAAGGAAAAGGAAATGTTTTTTTTAAAACAAGCTTAGCATTTCCACATGAATGTTTAGTTACACTTTGAGAGAGAGAGAGAGAGAGAGAGAGAGAGAGAGAGAGAGAGAGAGAGAGAGAGAGAGAGAGAGAGAGAGAGAGAGAGAGAGAGAAAGCGAGACAGAGAGAGAGAGAGAGGTAAATATATCTTAAAAACAAAGAGATGACTGCAGACAGAACTTACTGACAAATATCAGTGAAACATTATTACATGGCTATTTATGACAGTTGGTAACAGATCATTCTCGTCAGATGGCCAAACCATCTCATCTGTTTCTCTTTAATAAACTCTATAAATGGTTTCCGATTCTTCATTTTTAATTTGATCTCCTCTTGTTACTCTGGCACTTTATTAGTTTTTGTAAGGGACTCGGGGCGACCTGGATTCCAATCCTCTGTAAGGTTAGAGATTTTTTCTGTTGGGGTAAAAATAAAATCCTAACCTGCACAGTTTGTGGAGACAGTACTAACCATGCAGCCTTAAATCCTTAGGCTCAAAGTCCCTCTGCCTACACCGCATGAAATGGTACATACAGGCAGTAATGGAAGTTTTGTGTGTGGCAATAATAGACCATGTTTGACACTGGTAGCATCACCGTCATCATCAAGTTTTTTGCCAACTGCGCTGGGCAATCACACCTCTCCACAATCTGCAACTGCACGTATCAGTTCGTGTGTTGACACCCCTTCATGCCATGCCAAAAGGCTGTCAAAAATCTTCTCACATTGTCTTCTTCTTACTTTCCAATGGTCACAACATGTTCCACTTGCCTGAGGGGTAAGGAACCAACAGTCTGCATGCAAAAAAAAAGCTAGATCAGTAAAACGAATGTGCATGCAACACTCAAGTTCTGGAACAAGAAAAAAAGCCCAGTGGTGAACGAACAAAAAGAACATTCACACAGTTGATAGCCAGTGAACGCAAATAAGAAGAAGATGATGGTTATGAAGAAGAATTCACATACTGTGATAGCAGAAACACATTTGCTGGCTGGGTTCTAAATCTGATGTCTTACAGTGGTGACCAGTCTAAAATATAGATAAACCAGCTGTATTACTGAACAACAACAAAAAATTCAGAAGATGGACCAGGCCTATTCAAACTAAGCACATTGTGTCATATACCCGGCAAAACTGCACTGCAGTTTGGTTTAACCCTGTCAACCAGAGAAGCTGCAAGTCTAACACTTCCCGATGGGGCTAATTCCCCGTAAATATCACTATCCTGACTTGTCTACAGTCCTGCTTAAGAGATGCACAGTTTAACACTATTAGGTAAGTTCGTGCCTGTGCAAACATTTATGAGATCAGAATGTTAATATATCAACTAAAAATAGCATATAGGGCAGAGGGTTGCCCCTTCAAACTATTTGGTTTTTTAAAGCTAAGTTGATGTCTAATTTGTTTGCTAGCCTCAGCAACAGAGGTGATGGGATCCAGGTATGAGTCACCCCATACAAACTGTTTTTAAACACATGTAATGTATTCCATATAATGCTTCGCTCTGTTATGGTTAAATAAATCTCACATGCTCTCTCTTAAAACTGTACACTTTAATACTGTAACATGTTATATTTACCAATATTCTGAGACAAAGAATGACAGAACAGATAATGAAATGAGAAACAAATTGACTGAAGAAGCGAGAATGTTAAAGATAAACTCTATGACAAACAATGAGAAAGACCAGAGATACCAGACAAGACTACTTACATGATGCAGAAAAATTCTGTACACAAGAAAAAATGGAATGAAGAAAACAATTATGAGCCCAGCTGGACGATGATTTGATATCACTCCACTCTAAATATTCCTATAGGTACTCCTCCTCTCTTGTTTGTAGTCAAATGAGGAGTTTCAATGCTAGTGGTGTCAGTGTCAACCGGACTGAAAGAGATTCATAATGATATTCCCCCCAAAAATTATGAAAACTTACTCTTCAGATAGCTCTTCAATGTTTCAATGCTAGTGGTGTCAGTGTCAACCCGACTGAAAGAGATTCATAATGAAATTCCCCCCAAAAATTATGAAAACTTACTCTTCTGATAGCTCTTCAATGTTTCAATGCTAGTGGTGTCAGTGTCTCAGTGTCAACCCGACTGAAAGAGATTCATAATGAAATTCCCCCCAAAAATTATGAAAACTTACTCTTCTGATAGCTCTTCAATGTTTCAATGCTAGTGGTGTCAGTGTCAACCCGACTGAAAGAGATTCATAATGAAATTCCCCCCAAAAATTATGAAAACTTACTCTTCAGATAGCTCTTCAATGTTTCAATGCTAGTGGTGTCAGTGTCAACCCGACTGAAAGAGATTCATAATGATATTTCCCCCAAAAATTATGAAAACTTACTCTTCAGATAACTCTTCAATGTTTCAATGCTAGTGGTGTCAGTGTCAACCCGACTGAAAGAGATTCATAATGATATTCCCCCCAAAAATTATGAAAACTTACTCTTCAGATAGCTCTTCAATGTTTCAATGCTAGTGGTGTCAGTGTCAACCCGACTGAAAGAGATTCATAATGATATTCCCCCCAAAAATTAGGAAAACTTACTCTTCAGATAGCTCCTCACTGTCACTGGAAGGATAGCTCAAACCATGTCTGTCTGCAATCCCAGCATATTCCATTCTTTCATCATCTACATCATCCATGTCCTCACCCTCCTCTTCATCCCCATAAAACAGCTGTCCAGCTTCATATCCATACTGATGTGATTGTGGTTCTCGTGGCATTCTCTCACAGGAATCTCCTTCCTGTTTGTGTTGGGCCATACCCTGCTGGTAGCCTTGTGGGTGGCCTTGCTGTTGTGGTACTCTACCCACCCCTGAACTGTCATTTCTTACTGGAGCTGGGGACGGCCCGAGCCGACCAGACACAATCTCAGCTGCCTGCATGTGACCGGATGCTTGTGTTTTAGATTGTTGCCTTACAGCAGGGGTAGTGGCGCTGTTGTTTGGATACATATTACCAGCGCTCGAAGATACAGGATTCGTAAGGTTATGATAATGCTGCTGCTGCTGGTGCTGAGGCATTAACTGCTGGCAAGGCTTGCTGCTATGTGCTGGAGGGCTGTCTGTTTTGGAGGTGAGGCTATCTGCGTTGTTGGTAGATGAGGAGAAGTGGGTGCATTAAACAGCCTACACTGATTAGATTGCTGTGTAGTAGAAAGATGAACTCGGCGATCATTTGATGGATGGTTCTGGGGCAGCCTCTGAGAAACAGCAGGCACATTTGAACAGTTATCCGCCTGGCTGTTATTCATATTATTCTGTAGGTGGCTTTTGAGAGAATATTCCGGTGAATATTGATGTTCCTGTAATCCTGGATAATTACAGTTACTTTTTGGTTCATTCTGGCCTTGTGATATCATGCTATTGGATGCCTGTTGAGAATCTAGCTCTGATGCCATAATTTGCTCCTTTCTAGTTTGCTGCTCACAGAATGCAGATGTGTTTGGTAGGAGTGTGCGAGGCTGGTGGGAGCTGTGATTATCCTGTGTGGTGGAGCCAAACCCGGGAAAATGCTGTGCAGGTGACAGATGTACCTGCTGGCTGTCAGGTGAAGCCTGAGGGGAGTGTCCGTACGATGCTGACAAATAATCACCCTGAAAAAAAAAATTCACATTTCTTAAAAGGAATAAAATTTTGATTCTTGCACTCATTCTAAACATATACCCTGTCCTGATAGTAGACCTTGGAGAACCAAACTGAAGAAATATAATGAGCACACAACATGGGTGGGAACAAGAAAATTATGGAATGATGACATCAAAAACAATCTTACAGAAAAAAGACCAACTTAGAAAGAGCACACAGAACAAATATATTTTAACCATTAGAAAGCTGTCTCCATAGTTCGACCTCCTATACTAATTGTTCCATGATGTTGTTCTAGGGAGTCAGTCATAATTCTTTCTAAGAATATATTAAAGAGTGTTGGGGAGAGAAGGCAGCCCTGACAGACTCCTACTGTTGTTCGGAACCAGCACCCTATTTGTCCATTTAGTGTGTTATCACTACTGGCCTTGGCATAAAACTGTTCTAACACTGTTCCATAAAACGAAAAAGGACGTTCATTAATTTAAAATATGATGAAAACTGAAATCTTTCAGTCTTAGATGATCACAATAATGACAATATAAAACTCACAGGTGTACTATTACCTAATGCTCTGAAGGTTATGGGTTCGTTTCATGTCTGTGTCATTCAGTTCATGAGTGCAATTTTTATAGAGATTCCTGCAATCATCACCGCAGCTGCAGAGTTTGTGCTTTATGTGATTCTGTTAGTAGGCGGCTAGAAGTTTGCAGACAGAGACCAAGCCATTTGTAGAAAACAACTGTATTATTTCAGTTAATAAGAGTCCATGATTAAACATATGAGGTAGAATATACATAATTTGTTGATTAGTATACACAAATTTCAGCAAACACGACATGTTGTCTGCGACAGAATGAGTTAAGTAAAGAAACTGGTTTACTCACACGAAATGTTGTTTATGACAGAATGAGTTAAGTAAAGAAACTGGTTTACCCACACGAAATGTTGTTTATGACAGAATGAGTTAAGTAAAGAAACTATGGTTTACCAACATACCTGGGCATTTTGCTCAATTTTGTTAAATGTGTTATTGGAAAAGCTGTCAGTATTGTGGAGACCAGCCTCAAGTGGCTGACTCCATTCCTGGTTTGATGACATCTTTGCTGTTTGTAGCCAACCTAAAGCCTAAGACACATTTTTACATTAGACAACTATTGATGTATTCTCATTGTTAACATACAGGCCGATGATTGTAAAACATAGGCAGATGGCAGTAAAAAAAGAGGTGATTGTAATATAGAGGAGAAGGTTATAAAACAGAGGTAGGTGATTGTAAAAAACAGAGGTAAGTGATTGTAAAAGGTAGATGATTGTAAAACAGGAGCATGTCATTGTAAGACTGGAGAGTCATTGTAAAACATCCCTGTGTAGGTTCCGGGGCCTCATTATAAGAAAAACAAGAACAGACCCACTGCCCACCCAAAAGCTTGTCGTAAGAGTCGACTAATTGGGAGCTTCCTTTGAAGTCGGAGTGCATCTGCCTGAGAGGCAAGGAACCAACAGTCTGCATACAAGTTAGTCAGATCTGTCAAAAGGATGTGCATGCAACACTCAGGTTCTGGAACAGGAGTGGACGAACAGCTAGAACTTTCCGCAATTGTTTACAGCTGGTGAACCCAAACAAACAAACAAACAAGACACACACACACAAATTGTAAAACAGGGGTAGAGAACCTTTTTTTTTTGAAACCAAAAGCCAGCTGGATAGTTATAACACTCTCCATGTGCCATGCAAAACTATCTTCTTCTTCTCTTTCACCTTGTACCTCATCAAAGTGTCAGGGGGAGATGTAATGTACGTTGATGAGCTCTGTCAAGAGCACTATTAAGACTGATGTTCACTTCTGTAAGGCTGTTCTTAATGCCATCACTCCATATTTTCCGAGGTCTTCCACTTGCTCCATACCCGTTGTGATGTTTTTAGTATGGCTTGCTGTGGCAGGTAGTACCAGGGCATTCTTGTTAGGTGTCCAAACCACTCTATTTGTTGTTCTTTGATGACCTGTAAGACTGGCTTTATTCCTAGCATTTGTCTGATTTAATGATTTCATATTCTGTCTTACAAAACTATCAGCTTAAAAATGTGCCTGCAGTATGTAGCTGCAGTTGCCTGGGTCAAGTCAGACTAAATAATTTCATGAGTCTTATATGTCCCACAAATCGGATGTTCCCCAACTCAGTTGTAAGAGTAGTAAACAAATTTAGCACATCTGAATGCTGATGAAACAATTTATAATCAAAGTAGGAATCAGAGCATGCTGGCCGCTGCAAAGATTATGCATTAACAATCTTCAGACTTTGCACAGTCAATAATAGGACTCTGGACACTTAACTTAGTCACATTTGATGCGTATACACTTTTGATGTTTCTTTTTGTTCTTTACATCATCTTTTACTGCTTCGGGTGTCGAGGGAGAAATAAGGTGTTGAGGGAGATATGAGGTCCTGCTTTGTGCTCTTCTGGTTGCTTCGATCATAGACACTTCGTGGTGCTGTAGAGTTTCTCTGATGTTATCTTCCCATCTTGTTCTACCTCTTGATCTATGCCCTCATTTGGTATATGCATTATATGGTATAGCATAAAAAGGCATTCTATCCAAGTGGGCAAACCATTTTATTTGCTGTCTTTGTATGTAATTTAGAATTGTATCTGTGCCAACTTTATCTTGTATGGCCTCACTCCTGATTTTATCTCTTCTGGTCACTCCTAGTCTTTCTCAAACACCTTATTTCCATAGTTTCTAATTTTTTGTAAATGTTTTGTTATGAGTGACCACATCTGGTACTGACAGCATAGGGTGGGAATGAATACGCTTTGTATGAGATGTTTCTTTGTGCTGATTGGGATTGCCTTATGCTGTGGGATGGGAGGGTAACTGTCCCAATACTTGGCTTGCATTAGTGCACCGGATGTTAATTTGTCATCCAATTTACCACCTTTATTGAATGTTGTTCCAAGATATTTAAACTCAGATGCCAGTTTAATATCAGTATGCTCTAATGCTATATTTAAATTTCACCCTACTGACAACACTTGTGTCTTTTCTAAGTTGATTCTCATATTATTTGATTTATACTGCTGTATCTGCAATCAAGACCTGGTCATCAGCAAAGAGTAATTCGTTCATATTACTATTATTTTCATTCCTGGGCCTGGCATCCTTGCTTATACTGTCAATGTAGGTGATAAACAGGAGCGGTGATAAGACACATCACTGTCTTACTCCTGATGTTACTTTGATTGGTTTAGTTGTTCCCTGATTTATTCTGGATACACTTCTACAATCTCTATAAAAGCTTTTGCTAACCTCAATAAAGTGTTCACTTCCTCCATATCAAGCCATTACTTTCCATAATTGTTATCTATCGACTCATTTCAATAATCTCTTCTGTTTTATTTCCCAGGTCTGCGGTGTTAAGTGTTGCAATTTTATATTTCTCTTTTCTGTCTCATAGTCCTTTAAAAGTGCCATAGTCAAATGCTGTCTTATCAGTTCGTTTACATCTCATTACATTTGTTGTGGCGGTAGTAAATCCACTGCCGGCTTGCTAGGCCTGTCACAACTTCACCAGAGCCCCATTGGCCAGGACGTTTCAGGGTGATCCAGGATGGCCTTCATAGCTACTGGATGTAGCGGTCCAATGGCACTAGGCCATACTTCGCCCAGTCCTAACTTTCCCCTACTTTGTCCTGTTACCACCTCTCACGATGGGGACATGAGGTTAAGCTTTTATTTTTTCTTAATGTAAATACATTAAACAGCACAGGGGATAACAGATAACTTCAGATGATTCTGCACATGCATTCAGGTTCCAATATCCATTAGCTAAATTGATTGTTTGGAGATATCTCCAACAAGCCTGTTACCATGAGTTAATCAAAAGCTACAGTAATAGTAGTAACAGTCAAGGTTATAACTTAACTGCAAACAGATCATCCCATAATTGCACTATTTCTGTGCCAACTGGATCACACAGAAAGCACTTCAATGCCCCATTAGAAAACTGGTGAACAAACAATGAGCCCCGGGAAAATCCAGTGAAAAATGCATATGCATCTAATGCAGTAAATTTAAACTGAGTCAATGAATGATGCAGCTGCCAGCTAAAGATGCCAACAATAACAGTAACACCGCATGTGAAAAAGAGTACTAGAATTTTTGCAGCTGTAGTGACTACTGTAGTCAACTGATCTGAGCACTTCCAGGTTAACCCAACATTCAACATGTGGATAGCAATAAATATTCGGGAAAGTAAAGGCACTAAATATTATGGGAAGTAAAAGCTGTCGTCAGTGTGATAATGTAATCATCTGTGGTCATAGTAAAGTGTATTATCATCAGTATTATGAGTGGAGTGCTGCTGCCACTTTATGTTGTGCAGTCAGGTAGTGTCAGAGTCTAGTCTCTTTGAAATCAAATATGGGGACAAAACACCAAATATCCAATACGCTCAAGGCATAGAAGATTAAATTAACGCATACTTAATGTTATAATCAACCTTATTGTCTCAAAGTACAAATTAAATAGTAATATTATTAATATAGACACAAACAAAATACGAAAGAAAAAAAGCGACCCGATCAGGCAAAGGCTAAGTAAGGCCTGCTTGCTTGTGCCTCATCGCTGTCACTAAACTAAACACAACTCGCTTATACCTAATTATCAGAAGTTGTAATCCAGTTGTGAATATTCTGCACAGTAAATACTTCTTATCGCATACTGCTTAAAAGAATTACCTGATGTCAGAATGCATTACGAACACCAGAAAATTAACATTTCCATCGGCTCCCTACAAGAAGGCTGACGTCCATCAACCCCGGATGAATGAACTAAGACGTATTCATAAAGTCGTGAAATATCAGTTTGACAACAAGGCTCTATTATAAACGTTTTATTCTGTTATTTTATCCAGCTAATAATTTAGAACAATAAGCAAATTTACGAAATTTTAATTGTGATTGCATCAATATTTACTTTGTTTCAATTGTACAGTTGATTAAATCTGTTTACGACTTATAATGAAAATAGAAACAGTGGGTCATTCAAAGTAGCGAAGGAGTCGAAACAAGAACAGAAAGCCTTCTTTCTATGAGTGCCGATCAATACATTTTCTGTTACTTTATTAATATATAACTTCAGGGAAGAATTTAAACAGTGGGGAGCATGAAAAAATTATCACATTACTGGAATAGTTATAAATATTGATTGCAAATAATGAAATGATACATTGACAGGAACTCGTGTATCGTCCTTACCCGCATAAATAAACGAACGAACTTTATTTTCAAAGAGTTACAAATTAGGCACGCAAGCCTGTCTTACATTCGCCCTTCCAGAAAGGGGAGGGGGAATACCATTGAGGCCGTAGAAAAATTATTTAAACACACACACACACACACACACACACACACACATATATATATATATATATATATATATATATATATATATATATATATATATATATATATTTACAGGCAGTATTTTTATCGGCACTTAGACAAAAAGTAAAACAGATGGAATGATCATCATCAGGTGCCTTGCCCACTGGCGTGGGCGATCATGCCTCTCCATAATCTGTGATCTCCTGCAGCATGTATCAGGTCGTGTGCCGACACACCTCCATGCCATGCAACAAGACTGTCAATCATCTTCTCTCGTTGTCTTCCTCTATCTCTACTTCCACATATCTTTCCAGTGGTCACAACATATTCTATTTTCCCTCTTCTAATATCATGGCCGAAAAATGATGACTGTCTCCTTCTGATGTCTGTGATAAGTTGTCTTCGGGCTCCTGCCTCTTTCAAAACCTCTTGGTTGCTAATTTTTGGCTGTCTAAGGTATTCTAAGCATTCTTCTGTAAAACCACATCTCCAAGGCCTCCAGAAATTGTTTGGCCTGCCTACCGATTGTCCAGGATTCACATCCATATGTTAAAACTGGATGTATTTAGCAAGCAAGAATTCTTTTTCTAACTCTCAATGACAAGGATATATTGCACAAGATGTTTTTCATTTTATAAAATGCAGTTTTTGCCTGTCCAATTCTGTTTCTTATTTCAGTTATGCATTTTCCATCTGATGTTATCCATGTGCC